ACTACAGTCCCAGTGGGTCTAGGCCTACCCCCATGAACTTCTCCGTTCACTTCGGTAATGTCATATATATTTTTTTTTTCTTGGCACTACAGTCCCAGTGGGTCTAGGCCTACCGCCATGAACTTCTCCGTTCACAATGTCATATTTAGATAAGGTAAATTCACTGAGCTAGTTGACTCATACGTTAATCCTTCTGATTCGTATTCGAGGAATCCCGGGGTCGAATCTCGACCGGGAAACTGATTATCATCATCATCATCATCATTGATATTTCTCGCGGTTTTCTTCAGTTCCTCCTGCCAAGTGCTAAGATAGTATTTCAAAATAGATCGCAGTCACTTCCTTTCACATTAATTCCAATTGATCATTCACTGATCAACCTGTCATTCGGTGGCATGTGATATATAGTCCGAACCACTTACAGCGTTGTCAAATAAACCATAAATTAAAATATAAACAACAGAATTCAATTTAGTCTATGGGCTAGCGTGCTGAACTTTTGCGTAGATGGTAAGAAAAACTACGTTTGGTCCAGAAAAATGTTATTGCTTGCAATTTACGATGTCGCATATTATTGTTACGTTATTATTATTATTATTATTGCTATTGTTATTATTCTCGTCTATCGTTGGAAGAACTTGAGGTTTGAGTACAATTTTGTTTTTCTGGAGCATAACCTCAGAGTTTCTCTCCGGCACCATGCTTACAACTACTGACTTATAAACAGTGTTTCATGCATGTGTAAGTATGTTTATGATCTAGCCCCATACCGAACTTCATATTGTCACGTGGAGGAGTGACTATAGACTGGTAATTGAATTTACTGAACTCTTACAGAACGTAACTACAAATAACTATAGCGCTATCGCCAATTCCCAAACTACATTTACTACAGCACACATTTAAGTCTTCTCAGTCTGCTATGTATTCACTGGCCGTCGCCTGGTAACGGCTTCCAATGCCGTAGCTTCCTCAGATTTCATGTTCACGTCCTTACTGGCGGCGACTGTCTCACAACTCACACATTGCTCCAATTAACTCCCAGGCTGGCGGCCATCTCACACCAACCTCCTACTCTTCTCACTGCCGTCTCAAGATTCTCTCGTAGTCACAGCTTCTACTCATTTTGTAGCCTCGGCATGGACCGTACAGAAAACATCTCTCCCAACAGTTCTTCTGTTGTTGCATCACGTAGCTATCGCACGGACCGCGTAGAGCATACCGCTTTCCAGTTACTCCAATGTTGCGTGTTACGTATCTGTTACTGCCGTTACCTAGCAACGACCCTTGTTTGTAGAACCATTACATAGCAATGGCTGTTGTATAGTTGCTTCTTTTGTGGTCGTTTCCTAGATACAGGTTTAAATGTCACAGTATGTTAGCCCAACTGATGAATTAGTTAGTTAGTTAGTTAGTTAGTTAGTTATTGGAGAGGGTGGGTTTCCCCATGCACTGAGACCTGTATTGGTCCATTGTGCTTCCCTCTATGATTTCTACCAGTCTCTATATCATACCGGTACTGGTGCTTACCATCAGTCCCGCCCAGCCAGCGAGACCGGCTCTACTAGCTGAGAGGTATCTATAATGCTTCCCCCATCTACCAGAGGTATTAGAGACTGCTGTTGGGTGGGAAACGTCCGTTAATTTGGCTCAGTGACCTCCTTTGGAGATATGAGGTTCTTTTACGTGCCGTAAAGCTACGACACGGGATCCACGGCTTAAAGTCCCTCCCGGAGGACTTGTTCCCTGAATTTTTCCGCCCTTAAAAATTCGACGACCTCCGCCGGGTATTTGAACCCGCGTACTACGAGTCATGAGGTGGGAACGTTACCTCTAGACTACGGAGGCCGCTTAAGTGATGAATTAGACATCGCCATGAAACTGAAAGCTGAATACAGAGTTCTTGCAGCCAAATCCCATTATTTTACACACAGAGACACACACCCAAGAAGAAAGAAAGAAAGAAAAAGAAAAAAGAAAGAGAGAGGAAGAAACTCGCCTCAACAACAGTTGTGTATTTTTCGAAGATCTATTTCATTCTTAATTTCAGGGCCCTGTATAAATGGAGCTACTGACATTTGTACCTAAAAGTTTCGTGCGTCCCCCATGTTGTAATTACCGACTGTAGGAAATTAAAAAGTATGACGTTCTGGTGGCCTCTAATGGTAGAATGCTCATAACAAGTTTCGTGGAAACTGATCAACAGATTAGAAAAAATTGGACACATGCAGAGAGCGTAGTGATCCCGAAAACCTACTTTCTTTCTATGTTACTTTCTTTCGTAAGAAAGGAAATAGGCAGATAAATAAGTTTTATATAGTGAAACGTGAAAATACGACACCCCTAGTACATAAGCCCGCCACTATACCGGATCTTCGGAAAGGCAAAGATAAACTCGCCTCTTTAACTGAGCACCATTCTATGAAGGCTTATGGAGATGCATTGAAGCTCTGCACATTTTAGGCTGGATAAGACTGTACATAAAATTTTAGAGAGTAATTTTCTTGTTTATGGTAGTTACTCTTGCTGCTCTTAAAATCTGATGTGGGGTAATCATTCCCCTTGTTTGTCCGGTATTTGTTTTCCATCTCTTATCCGTTCTGTCATCATTTCTTTCCTCCTCACTCAAGTTAAAACATCTTCCTCACTTCCGGTCTTCAATGCCTTTGTCCATTTCATTTACTCTGCCCAGCGTGGGAACAAAGTCGCGTCATAGCTATAGTTACAGGAGTACTACAGTGTATTTCCAACATACTTTCGGTATTCATACGCCGTTGGGAAGTTCAAACATGCTTAAACAGGTCTGTTCTTCCTTAAGGTTGCCTACTCGATGTATGATTTCCTTCCCTCTTTTCTCCCATATTTCCCTACCATCCCTGTTATGTGTTTGACATATAGTCATTCCTTTCCATTATCTAGCAAAGGAAGAACACAATTTGGATTGTCAATGGTATTTTAATATTGACAAAAGATAACTGGGGTTTCCCCCTGTGTCCTGGTAACGGCAGAAAATAGTTTGGGTTTTCCTTCGCATGCTTGTAACGACAGAGAATTTCGGGTTTCCCCCGTATCCTCACAACAGCTGAAGATAGTTCGGGCCGACCCCCATCCTGACAACAGCAGAATACAGTTTTTTTTCTGTATCCTAGCAACAACCCTATTGTTGTCACGATACGAATGCCTTTCTTACGGAGAAAGTAATGGGGAAACAAGCTGGATTGGACTGTACGTTTGCAGCAAAAATATCATTTTCCCTGGATTGTCTCTTCATGGGAAACAACTTTTGTCTTGCCAGCTTTTTCGTAGTCGCGCCGTTTGGGAGAAAAGGGACAGATAAATGGCCAGAGAGAGAGACAGATTCGTTTTCGTTTCTTAATTTTATTTTTACGTAAATGATGCACTAGAGGAAATTTTCATCAAAGCCGTCCATATTCCGCTTCAAGATATTTCCGGTTCGGTGACGCAGCCTGACTCAACAGAAAATGACTGGCCCCACCCACTCTTCACCTCGCCGCTACATGAAAGTGAGTGACCAAATTTACTCCCTAGCCACTTTACCCCGTGGGAGAGAATTCCCCCATTACATAGATAACCTCCTACCAGACTAAACAGTGTCATATCCTAGGAGACCACAATCCAAATCTTCACAGCCGTGAAACCGAAGAGGTTGGCTTGGCGGTAAGGTTCTAGATTTATATCCGAGAGGTGCTCATTTCGGATCTCGGACGGGACAACGCATATCCTGAGTGAGGCTTTCCACGGTTCTCCTCATTCCCTCCGATCAAATGCCTGGGTAATACCTCGATTAAGCCATGATCTATCGTTTCCAAATATTCATCATTCATGTATCATCCAACCGTGCGATCCTATGAAGTCTCGATACTAAATGCGCCGAGAAAATTCACCTCCGCGAAAACCTTAGATCTTAAATAATTACCAATGTCTGTTTATCGTCTGTACTTCATCTACTGTGGGAACGAAGGTGTATCATCGTAAGTTAGTGATATAGGCCGTTATGTCATCATTAGAAAATCAGCAAATTCTGTTTTCAGCGTACTTCCTGTATTCATACGGTGATGGGAAATTGAGACAGACATTTCTTCCGGAAGGTTACGTACGTGAAGTATGACGCTTCCTGTTTCTTAGAGTAGGTGTTACATTTATTTCGCTTAGTAGTTCCTGCATGGCAAACGGGAAAACTGTTCCTTTTGGTAAGTTTTAGAATTTAGGTTTCATAGAAGACCAAGGCGTAGGTGGGTGGACAATATTAAAATGGATATTAGAGAGATAGGATGGGGTGGTATGGATTGGATTGTGCTAGCTCAGGGTAGGGACCAGTAAAGGGCTCTTGTGAACACGGTAATGAGCCTTCTGGTTCCATAAAATGCTGGGAAATTCTTGAGTAGCTGCAGATTTGGCTTCTCCTCAAGAAGGGCTCAGTTCCATAAGTAGGTAAGTAAGTAAGAAGTGCATGTTAGCATTATTTTAGTTCAGAATAACAGAACAACTTTGGATGCGAGTACGAAGTGAAGGATGAAGTTAAGTTACAAGACTTACCTAAACGCCCACGCAATGTCGATGCACATTACATTCAGCCACAAGAAGGCCGCCAGGAAAGTGAATTGGATAGTGAAGGCTGCAAGAAGAACAAAACATATCTCATTATATAAGCGTTACCAAAGCAGAATCACTGGGTTTTGGGGTTTTATCCATAGTCCAGTATTTTAACAACTAGAGAACGCAACGTTTCGGAAACTGGATACGTTTCCATCCTCAGATGAAGAAGGAGACACCTACTCTGTTTGACCGCTTAAAAAGAGCTAATCTTAATCACTGGACAACCTAAGTCAAAGTTATTCTAGGACTGGCGATTTACCGCCAATCAGTTTTTAGCGGGTTTCTTCAGTCCTTTAGGCAAATGGAGTGATAATACCACAAATTAGGCCATGGCCGCTTCTTTCCACATCTTTCCATTTCATCATTGACTAATCGTAACAATTTGATTTGTAGATCTGGATTTCAGGCAGTCGTTAAATAAACCATAAGAAATAAAATAAAAATATTATCACTTTGATCTGAGTTATCCTTTTAGATACTTGCTTCTCTCAATTCACATAGGGTGTGTACATTGTCTTTTAAAGTTACCATTCAGAAATAATTGTTCTTAGAAGCAAAATGCAACCATAGAATTTGTTGCGTAAGCCAGAGTAGTGCTCCTCAGCCAGCGGCACGCGTCCCGCTATTCTGACTTGACAGTTGGTCGGGTTGGACGTGAAGCCTCGAAACTAATACGTATATACTATATGTATACCATCAGTGATTAATATAATACTAAAATGTATATGATTCAAACACACTTCCTGGAGAACAGGAAGCTTTATTTGTACTGTGTTTGGAGTATTTTTATGTAAAAAATGACGAAAGATACAAAATGTAGATGTTTATTGTGCTAGAGAAAAACTGTATGTTTTTTATTGTATTGTTAAATTTAAGAATTATAAATTCGGAAATGTTTTAGCTTAAAAACAACATCCCACAGGTCTCTAGTAGAAACTGCTAATTGTTAGGCTCATAATGCTGATACGTAATCCAATACATAGGCTATAAGCTATGTTGGCGGTAGGTGATATGTGCAGTAAGGATAACTACGTTTTTGTGTAAGAATGTTAAAATGGAAAGGACACAGATTGAATGAAAACAAGAATAGGAAGGAAGACCAACTGTTCCGCAGACTCATGAAATCAGTGGACGCAGTGTCTCACCTATTGTGATACAAAACTCATAGTGCAGATCAGGTAGAAGCTGCCCAATTCCCAGGAACAGACAGGCAACTAGGAAGCTCGCAGTATGAGCCATGAGGTACTTGGTGTGAAGTCCATTCCTCAGCTCTGGTAATGCGGCATAGACGATGAGAGTAGTCGAGAGGAAGCCGGCGTCTATAAGTAGCATTGCCCCATAGAAGACCCTCCGCTCACTACACAAACCACGACTCTCCCATCTCTTGCAGTATAAGAGATTCGGAGTTTCGTTGCCATCCTCGTCGATTGTCACATCCCAGCAGTACTCTGCAACGGGTATTGGTTGTTCGAACCCGCGTCCTTCCACCCGACCATCGTCCAGGAACCGATACTGCAGACGTTTCTCACTTCGTTGTGTCAATGGGTTCAGCAAGTAAGCACCTACACTTTGGCAGTGAGGAAATCCGATCAGCTGAAAGTACTTGGAAGAATCATCATGAAATGATGTGTGCTTCGCGATATCCATATCTTGTGGCGCACAATTCTGATTTTCATCTAAATATCTTCCAGGAGGACAACACTTTCTGATGCATGTCATAGTATCACATGGGCACAATAGGATCACATTAACGGTTTGACTACCCTTGAGTAACAAACTATCGAAGCAGAAAGCTGAAACTGGGAATGTTGTGTTCTTCTTATAATCATCATCATACAAAATAAGCCCTCCATCTTCCCGTAACGTGAGCAGATCTACGTCATATGCAAATATCAGGTGCTGGCGACCTTCACACCTTGCTTGGCTGCCGAACTGAGGCGTGAGACGGAACTTGGAGAGAGGTTGTGAACCAACTGTCACTTCGGATAACAGCCAGGGCGGGAACTCGCTCATCGAGTGTGAATAACGATTCTTGTAACCCGTGCACGTGAAGTCCGGGGTTAGAGCCTGGTCTTGAGAGCAGCACTTGTTTACAGTGAAGCCGTGCTGGGGTACTGCAGTCACCACAGAAATCACTACACTCCACAACAGCAGCATGTCTTGCCGAGACTGCTAACCTAAACGAAAGAGACTCTTCAGCTGTCACGCCGGGGAAGTACGCGCGCTCTCGCTGAGCTGTCACGCAGAATGTTGCATGGAACACTGGCACACGTACCGGTGCAAAAGTAGGGCACTGATGTCCAGGCATACTCGTACACTATCCCCTGAACAACTGTTAAGTTGGGTTTGTGTGTAATACGTGTGTGATATATGTATGGTATTCACAATCCGGAAGATGGCGGCTAATTATAGAGGCAAGTGCACTGTACATTGCAGCCGCGCGGTCTAAGGCATGAAACGTCTTCGCCCGCTCGAACACCGGGAACGTGGATCCGAATCCCACTCGAGGCATGGATTTTTGTGTGCGTTTACTATTCTGTGTGCAGAAAGCGGCCTTGCGACGGGCTGATCCCACATCCAAGGAGTCCTACCGACTGTGTATAGAATAAGAAACAGAAAAAGCGGCCAAAGTCCACAAGGGCCGTGGAGCCATAGATAGATAGATAGATAGATAGATAGATAGATAGATAGATAGATAGATAGAGACATAGACTGTAAATTACCAGTCAATATGATATTTTCTTTTGATTTGTAATTAATACTTTTAGTTATCTTAATCTTACTGTTTTCTTTTTGTATTCTCTATTTCTTCTTTCTTCCACACGAAGATAAATTTATTAAGGAAAGTCGGCGTATGTGTTCTGCCGTGGGTATTATAGATTTTGTCAGCATTTCATCATAATATCGATGGTGATGGCAAAATCTAAATACAAATCTAAATAAGCAGGAAAGAAAAGAACCACCGTAAGAAGATTCATGCAGAAATTGTTATTGGTTCGACTCTTACTGACCCTAGGCCCCCAGGAACGTCACCACAATAATGGTGCTTAAGAGACCCCTACCGTATGGCAGCCTTCCCTACACAGGATGCATCACCATGCCACAAAGCGTCATAGAAATTTCAGTTACATTTCTTTACGAGTCAGAATTTTTAACACTTCGCACTTATAGACATGGGCTCGGGCGTGAGGGCAAAGCAGATTTCTGCCTTCTCCTGTGGACTTCTGTAAAAACCGAAACTGAAGAAAAGAAAGGAACATAGCAGCTAGTAATAATAAAAATCAAATATATTTCAAAAGACATAGTCTTCTGTCCTGGATTCATAACAATAGTCTTCAACGTCTTAAACGTAGATTTTTAAACATATTTTCTAATTGGTTCCCACCCCCTTGGAAACAATAGTGACTTCGATCATGCTTGCAGTGTTGAAAGAATTAAGAAATAATACTTACTGGACAAAATTTCGACGTATAAGACTAATTAGATTCAACATGTTGACAAGGTGCAATGAATTAGTCTTCTAAACTGTTAAACAGTTACAAACCATATTGATAAAAAGAAAACCGAGGAAGTCCTTTGAAGATTCTGTTGGACGGATGAGACTGGAAGGAGTAAAGTGGCCCGAATACCTGCCAGCAGATGATGATGATGATGATGATGACGATGATATAACTTACACATTTGGTTGTATGTAGGTTGCATTCATTCTTCTTGATTGACTACACTCACTGAGGTTGAACCTTGAAAACTACCCCGTACTTCTTCATGTGTAGAAGGACGTTCAATTTTTACTTTCCAGCAGAATTATAAGTTCTTTATGATATCATTAATTAAATAAGAGACTGTATTGGACACTTATTTGATATCTTACTTCAGTGTACGTTGCAGATAAAAATTTTGTTCCCTCTCATGCAAGTGACAAGCTGGAACTCTGCCACAAATTCAATGTACGCTATGCCCCGATAATTAACGAGGAAAGTTTATGACAGTTTAACTGTACGGAAAACGCTGAATATTTGTATAACTTATTTATTTAAACGGTGGAAATTTAATTAACCAGAAGAAGCTATCAACGATATGTAATTTAAGGATGTGAAAAGAAGACATATGAAGTGGGTTGAGATTTTAAGTTGTAAACGCAAACACACTCACAGGTTAGCGTCTTAAATACTACCCATCAGAGACGTAGTGAAAATCTGAAGCTGTTCAAGTAATTGCGTGAGTAGATAACGCGATATATATTCGAAATCAGCGACTTCCTCTCATAATTTCCACAGCACCCTTTACATAACTGTACATCAATGCCTGTTCGGTACTAAGAGAAAAATGCAATGCAAACGTCCGTTTTTTGTGATTTCCTTTTCGAAGAGTCCTATCAATTTACTGTACGGAGCAGATTTCTTCAGGAACGAATAGTCCCTCAAGTATTCAAGAAATTCCTCGCAAAACGAATGCAAAACTGGAAGTACCCTACGACACTGTGAAATGACCCCCTTCCCTGCTTCATTTCATCGCTGATAAATCCAGAAGATCCCTTAAAACTTCGTGTCATTCAGTTAGTGAAGAAATTCCTTGCTTTTATGAAACCCGTAGATCCATTGCCGTGTTCACAACAACCTTCCATTTGTCGATGTCCTCAGTGTGATTCATACATTAACATACAAGATATTGAGGGTCCATTTTAATATTATGCTCCTACATACACCTAACTCTTTTAAACGGGTTCTTCCCTTTATATTTTAGGACTGAAATTATATATGCATGTTCATCTTTTCAGAAATAGGCTATGTGAAAATGATAAAATTAAATTCTGACAAAATGTTTTTTGAAGTAACGTTGAAAGAGCAAATATTTATGTCAGCAGAATAGCTGATCTGATAATGTATGTAATAAAACATAGTTTTTGTTAGTTGACTTTAAGAAGTCACTTCCAAAAATAAAATTTATATACTGTAATTAAAGAATTATGTGGAAAATATGAGTTGCTTTAGGCCACAGGCAATCGAGGATGTCTGTCTTGTCGATACTGAATCTTTGAATTCTCTTGCCGATGAGTTAGTCGGTTACTGCGCTACTTCACATACCCAGAGAGAAACAAGCCGCATTCCTCTTGTTGGGTATGATCTGGGCCACGCCCGTAGCCACATATGCAGTGGCGAGCATTGAGTTGTGGGCTGCGAAGACAAGGTTGTGGAGTTTTTTGGCGACCTTGCTCGGCAGCAGGAAGCCCGTGATAACCACACCAATGAGGAGGGCACCAGCTATAAGCAGTAGGACACCATATATCAAGAACTTCCGAACCTCGGTCCTGAGTCGCCCGGGACACACCAAAAGCATGCCTGTATCTCCGCAGTATTCGTGCCAGGGCACAGCCTGCGGGTACCCGGAAACCTAAAAGAAATAATTTGACGTTTATTTAACTACGTTATACCAACTATTGGTCTCTGTTTCTCCATTACTTCATTCGAAGGTAACCAGACATCCGAAGTATTATGTTCAGAACGTTTTACTATTCAGTCCTATTATTTAGAAGAGATTATTACGTCCGAAGGACCTACACAGAAAGCAGCAGTTTCCTCCATTAGATATATTCTAACACCTGATGATGACCATATTGGCCGAAACATGTTGTGACATATAAATTCTCAAATTTTAAGTTTAAAACTTAATTGTAAAATAATAATAATAATAAATAATATAATAATAATAATTATAAATTAATAAATAGTTGCACATAAAACTGTAAAATAATAATTACGATAAAATGGAAGAGTGCAACAGGATGCTACAGTACGGTATTATTTAATGAAAATTGATATTAACGTTGAACCCGACTATATCAGTTCCTTGCCCTCAATAATACCAACATGGCGGCCATGGGAAGTTTTAAGTAGGGGGGAACATTTTTTTTCCTTGGCACTACAGCCCCAGTGGGCCTAGGCCTACCTCCACGAACTTCTCCGTTCACTTCGGTTTTTCTAGATCTTACACATTCGGTAGGACTCCTTGGGCGGGTGATCAGCTCGTCGCAAGGCCTCTACCTGTAGACAAACACAGAAAAACGCACACAAACATCCATGCCCTGAGTGGGATTCGAACCCACGATCCCGGCTTCCGAGCGAGCGAAGACAGTGCATGCCTTAGACCACTCGGCTACCGTGACCGGCAGGGGGGAACATTAGAGCCATTTAATGCATGGTGCTGGAGCGTAGCGAGGCTAAGGTGGCGGAATATGGAAGTTCTGCAGGGAAATGTAAGATGCGCGAAGTAACACGGAGGCAGCTACAAAACAGTAGGCCTATATATCCTTCTGTTAGACTGCGATAGATGTAAAATGATTGTGAAATTTTATGTTGGCCTATTTAGGTCTGTGTAACGTATACCGCATATTTCATTAAATTATTCGTGTGAATCGAAGTTTGTCAACTTGGAGAGTTGTAAATCTTCAGTATTGTCTGATGAATCTTACATACTGGAAGTACATTACTTACTTACTTACTTACTCATGGAGCTGAGCCCTTCTGGAGGAGCCGCCAATTGTGCAGCTACGCAAGAATTTTTCAGCATTTTATGGAACCCGAAGGTTCATTACCATGTTCACAAGAGCCCTCTACTGATCCCTATCCTGAGCCAGATCAATCTAATTTATACCATTCAATCCTATCTCTCTAAGATCCATTTTAATATTGTCCACCCACCTACGCCTTGGTCTTCCCACTGATGTCTTTCCTTCTGGCCTTCCCACCAATATCCTGTATGTGGGAAATCTATACTGACGAAAATTATGCAGTACCGAACATTAAGTGGTATAATAATTAATTTATTGTTTTGTTTGTTCTCTCTGTATGCTCGTACATGCAAAGAATGTTTGAGAACGGAGTACCAAAGAGAACATTTGGATCTATGGGAGACGAGATAACGGAAATATGCAGAAAATTTCATAATGAACTTCGTAATTTGAATTCGTTGCCAGATATTGTTAGAATAATCAAATCAAGAAGGATGAGATGAGTGGGATATTTTCTGATATGGAAGAGACGAGAAATGCGTTCAAAATTTGAGTAGGGAAATCTTAAAGGAAGAAGAAACGGGTAGCTCTGTTGGTACAGCCACTAGGCTATGAGCTGGACAACCGAGGGATCGAAGTTCGATTTCTAATGGAGTTAGGAGAGTTTTCTCCTCTCCATAATGTCTAGATCCGCTCTGGGGCCCACCTAGCCTCCCATACAATGGATACCGGGGCTGTTTTCTCGGGGTTAAAGTGGCAGGGACGTAAAGCTGACCACTGACCTCAGTCTAGTACCGAGGTTAAGAACAGACTCGAATGTCAATAAAATCAGTTAGTTTATTAAAATGTTTCGGCCGTTAACAACCATCATCAGGCGTTTATAAACAGTGAAATGCATTTAACGTTCATTACTGGATTGCGTGTCGTAGTGGATCTATTGCTGTTAGTCTTGTCATGTACCATTTTTACGTAGTATTACAATATTTAAATATATTGAAATATTTATCTAAATACAAGTAGATAAAGCTTATGTTAAAATTATTGTTATTCTATAAAAGTTATCCTATTACATACAGGGGTTTCTTTTTAGGTGCGATATTGTGTGGAAAATGGAGCGTATATACTGCATATGGTGTGTTTACGAAACTGTGTCCTTTATAGGAACTTAGACATTAGATGTGTGTGCGTTGTTGTTGCTACTGGTCGCACGTTTGTGGTTTGGGTGAAAATTGGGTATTTGTAATTTTTGGTCCTCGGTGGCCTCGTGCTGCCTTTTTTTGGGGGGGAGGGGAGTCATTTGTGATTTTATCGACGTTCGAACCTATCAGTTATTCAATGAAGTGTAGAATTATTGTGATTGACTATGTTATATTTTAGCGTCCTGTTACACTGATTCAAGTCCATGATTTATTTCACCGTCTTCTAGTGCATACACTTATCTACTTCACTCCTCTCACTCGCACTACATGTTTCGGCACAAAAGTGCCATCCTCAGGTGCTTATTTGCTTAACGTTAAACTAGTTCATTACATGCCTTGTCGTCTTCATATTAAAATAATTAAAATATATATTTATCATATATATTGATAAATGTTAAAAATTAAATATTAAAATATAAAATTGTTCAGGATTTTTCCTACGTCGTATTCACTACTCAAGTNGACACATACGAATGAGGTTAAGAATGGTGAACTATACGTCCAGTCCCCTAGAGATCATAATGCGTTGATACTCCTGTTTACCATGCTTCAGGGATAGTCCAAAATGTGGAAGAGCTTTAAAATCGTAATACCTTAACACTGCCATCTTCACCCACAGCGAATTTTGTAGAGTTGCTTGATGTTATCACTGTCGCAGACCCGGATTCACAGCTGGGGCGTCTGTTCCCTATGACGTAGTAGCCCTCTTCTGCTACTCCAGCCTGATACAATATCCAGCAAATGTGACAAGCTACATCCAATAACATAAGTGTAATATAAATTAACAATGCGTGTCCTTTACGCATTATTTGCACAGTGCAAAAAATGTGTACATAATAGTGTCAGAGTGTCTGTTTGTACGCTTATATCAATTCAGAAACTACTACAGCTGGTATTAAGTGAACAACACCATTGAGTGTAAACAATTTGATTTAATTATATAAAAACGTTTATATGTTTCTGTCCTAGGAGAACATCATCAAAGGTACCTAACACGGAAGGAGGTGCTTTATAATTATAAAGGTCAATTGTTCACCAATATTACCCCCGTGTAGTTAATTAATTACATTTACAGTTACAGTAAAAATGAGAGTTATTGAGCACATCAGTGTTAAAGCGTACAGCTGTTAATGTGTTAAAACACTTTTTTATCCGGATGATTAATGTGCGAAGACTCCACGCACAGTTTCTAAGTCGAATATATATGTATTTATAAAACAATTAAAGCATATTTCAAATCATTTTAACGTATTAACAGCTATACGCTTTAACATTCATGTTCTGAATAATTTCAATTTTTACTGTAATTGTTAGTGTAATTGCTGATTACACTCGCCGCGCGGTCTAAGGCAGGAACTGTCTTCGCCCACTCAGGCACTGGAATCGTGGGTTCGAATCGCACTCGAAGTATGGGTGCTTTGTGCGTTTATTCTGCGTTTGTGTTGTTCTCTGTGTAGGTAGCGGCCTTTCGACGGGCTGATCCCCGTCCAAGGAGTCCTACCGACTTAGTATAGGATTAAGAAACCGAAAAATCGCCCTAGGTCAGAAGGGATATAGAGCCATAGAGAGGGAGGGAGAGAACGTGTAATTAATTAACTCCGAGAGGTAGAATTGTTAAAGACTTGACATTTATAATTGTAAAGCATGTCCTGTCGTACTGAGCACCATCTATTGTTGATCTCCTGGAACAGAAATATGTAAAGGTTTTTAGTTAAATAAATCAAACTGGTCACGCTCGATGGTGGTGGTGTTCACAAAATGTCCAGTGGAGTGACAGACCAGAATGCCTTCTGTTACTGAACTGCAGTTGCAAATCTGGTGTTGGTGATCTACATTACGCGTTATCAACTGGATAAATTATGGTCGCTCACTAACAAGCTGGAATGAAAATTCTCAATTATTCGCTTTTAAATCATCATTTTTATATTCATTTTCTCAGAGAGTATCTGAGGCTCTGAACCTTCTTCATGAAGCAGAGACCTTGGGAAGTTAAGTCGCTCAGCTGGTAAAGAAATTCACCATTTTGTACGGAACCCGAACTTTGACAAATACGTTAACAAGAGCCCGGCACTGGTTCCTGTTTTGAGCCAGATGATTCTGCTCACATAAGAATATCTCATCCCTTTAAGACATATTTTAATTTCACACTTCCATCTAAGCCTAGGTCAACCAAGTTGGTTGTTACCTTCAGAATTTCCAACTAAAATTATCTTTGTGTTTCTTATCTTTACCACTTGTGCTACATGTCGCTCCATCTCATCCTCCTTGATTTTATCATCGTAATAATATTTGGTGTGCTTTTTTTGGAATGTGTTTGCAAGCTGAATGTTCGTAAGTTGAATTTTTTCTTTCATAAGATATATCGTTAAATATGTTAATGTGTTAACTTGTTCATAAGCACGGGGTTCTGAGCTCGTTAAATTAATTAGGAGTCGCAATTTATTAGTCCGTGAAATGTTCGTAAATACGAATTGTTCGGTTCTTGAAAAGTTCGTAAGTGGAAGTTATCATGCACAAATTATGACACTTCTCTTACGCAAATCTGTCCAGTTACTTTGACTTCTTCATTTAAGCACAAGGATTTAACATACCTGAAAAGTTGGTCTCCAGAAGCCCACGTCGTCGTGTCCCGTGTCAACACATCGCCCCACAGACCCGTTGTATACAAACCCATCATAACAGCACTTCCTGACACAGGGCAACTTGGAGCACGGGCAGAATATTGCAGTTTTGGTTCTTGCATCGAAACAGAAGGACTCGGTGTAAGTCACCATTTGATCACGTTCCTGGGTGCTGTACACCAGGACATTCAGGTGGAGGCGTCCACTCTCTGCGATCAGCAGCCGGAACTCGTCTATGCCATGCAGCAGTATCGCCCTGAAAGTGTTAGGTTCCTTGGCACCATTATCCCTACCCGTGTTGGGTCTGTTACGGAATCTATGCCATGCAGCAGTATCGCCCTGAAAGTTTTAGGTTACTTGGCACCATCATCCCTACCCGTGTTGGGTCTGTTACGGAATCTTCATGCAGCAGTATCGCCCTGAAAGTGTTAGGTTCTTTGGCACCATCGTCCCTACCCGTGTTGGGTCTGTTACGGAATCTTCATGCAGCAGTATCGCCCTGAAAGTGTTAGGTTCCTTGGCACCATCATCCCTACCCGTGTTGGGTCTGTTACGGAATCTTCATGCAGCAGCATCGCCCTGAAAGTGTTAGGTTCCTTGGCACCATCATCCCTACCCGTGTTGGGTCTGTTACGGAATCTTCATGCAGCAGTATCGCCCTGAAAGTGTTAGGTTCCTTGGCACCATCATCCCTACCCGTGTTGGGTCTGTTACGGAATCTTCATGCAGCAGTATCGCCCTGAAAGTGTTAGGTTTCTTGGCACCATCATCCCTACCCGTGTTGGGTCTGTTACGGAATCTTCATGCAGCAGTATCGCCCTGAAAGTGTTAGGTTCCTTGGCACCATCATCCCTACCCGTGTTGGGTCAGTTACGGAATCACAAAGCTAAACAATTTACATTAATGTTCTTAGGTAGTCGGGATAGCTCAGTTGGTGTAGCAACGGCCTATGGGCTGGACGGCCAGAGTTCGATACCCGGCAGGGGAAAGATTTTTCTCTAATCCACAGCGTCTATACCTGCTTTTGGAAGGACCCAGCCTCTTTTCCAATGGGTGACGTGGATCTTCCCCCGAGGATAAAGCGGCAGGGGCATGAAGCTGACATCCCACCTCCGTACAATACCAAGGTCAAGAATGGTGGAGCTATACCTCCACTCCCCAACACGTTTTCAGATTTACTCCTCTGCCGCTTTATCCTTGGAGAAAACGCTACTAGTATCCATTGGATATGAGGCTGGGTAAGCCCCAGAACCGGTGTGGATGACGTAAAGAGGAAGAAAATCTTGCTCCCACCTGGACTCGAACTCCAACCCCTCGGTCGTCCATCCCATAGCCAGTCGCTATACCGACTGAGCTATCCCGGCTACCGCTTGTGAGGAGGATATTGAAGTAAAGGCGGTCTCGTACGTCTGTTGGGCTTTCTCAGCTTTTTCCTGGTAGCACTAAGTAATTTAGGGACAAAATACCTAATTGTTCCAAAATCCTAACGTGAGATATCCTTAATATGTGTATTTAGCCGCGATGTTCGGCAACGGTGCATCAATTTCTATTGTATTAAATGTGGAATGATAGGCTGTATAAGAGTAAACATGTTATAGACCTATTTTTTCTTACTTTTTAGGAGACTATCCTATAATTGGTGTGTTGCAATACAAATTAAGGAAGTCTGCATAGCATAGTATACATAGCATTAAGCGACTCCGTGTTAGCGTTAGGCGTTCATTTGATCATATTAAGGGGTATGTGCCGACTCGACATGGGCGGCATGAAACCTACGGATGCTACTTTGTACGCCCCTCTTTTAGCAAGTACAGTCTTGCGTAATGTGCTTATTATAAGTGGCAGAATGGCATGCAGTAGTTAAATACGGTGTAAAAATAGAACGAATGTGTTCGGCATACTTGCGTAAACGACATCCGTTTATGACATACAATATCTTACTTTCTGTTTTGTCTGCAGAGAAGTGTATTAGACCAGCTTCTATTTTCAGTTGAAGAAGCGATCCACGTAGGATGTGTTTCGTTTGATTTTAAACACTTCTGACAGTTTCTGCTCTAAAATATTAGTTCGGATGCTGTAACGTCACACTTCATCAGTCAAGGTAACGAACGGAAACGCTTATTCCAACACATGTCATTTATTCAAGGTTATTCATTAACACTGTTTCAAGTACATAGTATCTTAGCGGATTATATAGCATGATTTGAGATTAAAATATGATAATGAATAATTAACCGATAGAGATTTGGAAAGAAATGGCCGGGGCATATTATAAGATGCAGTCAGCATTTGCGTCGAGAGACTGAGAAAACCACGACACACCTCAGTAAAGATAACTCCTAGCCCAGCTGAAATTCAAACCAGGCACTTCCTGGATAGAAATATACAGCCCTGACGGACTCATATTCAATACAAAACACTGCAGTCCGTAAATTACAGGATTTCTTTAATGTCCCATATTTACACTGCTTTTCCTAGGGTGCAGTAAGACTTAGTCCCCTGGTACTTAGGCCTTAAATGGCCCATTATACCAACCCCGGATGATAGACGAGAGAAATGCAGCATTTGGTGGGATGAGAATTGTCTGAGGAAAGTACTCGAAGATCTTCCTCAGTGTCACTTTATTTATTTATTTTTTTTAATTCTCTTAGTGGGGGTTGGAGCCCAACTGGGTCCACTTGGCTCGGCGGCCACTGATTGGCCTATTGTAGCCTGCCTCTGATGATTATGATGATGGAGAATTTGGTGGAATGAATATTGCCAAGGGAAACTAAAGTACTCAGAGAAAACCTGCCCCAGCGCCACTTTGTCCACCACAAATCCCACTTGACCAGACCCGGTCTCGAACCCGGGCCGCCGCGGTGGGAAGCCAGCGACTAACCGCTTGAGCTTATGGCGCGGCCTTCAGTGTCACTTAGTCCACCGCAATTGCAACATGCACTGAACTGGGACTGAACTCAGGCCAGCGCGGTGAGATTCTGGCGGCTAACCACCTGAACTATGGCACGGCCTCAGTGTTGGCTTGATCAAAAACATGCTCTCGACTACTGCCCGTTGAGCTCTCACTTTACAGCATGTAAACAGACGGACTTCACACATAAAGTTTACTCAACCGATCTTGTAAATGTCAGTATAATAGACAGCCTTATTATACTCCTGTTTATTCTGGACTGCCATCATTTTGCTCCCGTTAAACAATATTAAGATGAGCTAACCAAGAAGGGTGAGGCCTAGAAAGGGAGCGTGTGGATTGGATTCATCTGGTACAGGGTAGGAACCAGGGACGATGTATTTTATCAGGGTAATGAACGCTTGGGTATGAGGCAGATTCTGGAAAAAAACTTTGGAATGTGGAGTCAGCACGTTTCACCATTTCTTACATTTCAGAGCTGCCTGTGACACCATAAATACGTTTGCAAGGCCTGTACTTGCCTCTCAAAAGGAAAGTTGAAAATGTGCTCCGAATCTTTGACAGAAGCACATTAAGAAGAATTTATGGCCCAATGAAGGGAAATGACACGTGGAGATCAAGGTGTAACCATGAACTTCATAAATTATATAACGAACTAGATATAGTGCAAGTGATCGAAGTAGGGCGCTTGAGATGGCTAGGACAGTTTTTTAAGAATGCAGGAGGAGAACCCTCACAGGAAGTTGACTCAACACAAATCAGAGGGTACTCGGCGAGTAGGCAAACCTGCTGTCAGGTGCCTGGATCAGTTAAAGAAGCTTTAAGATAAAGGTCGTCGGAAATTGGAGACGGAAGTTACAGGATCGGGCCAAATGGAGCACAATCGTAAAGGAGGGCAAGGTTCATCATGCAGTGCAGAGCCAGAAGAAGAAGAAGAAGAAGAAGAAGAAGAAGAAGAAAAAGACGACGACGACGACGATGATGATGATGATGATGATGATGATGATGCACTCTTGGATTCCACAAAACTCTAGGATACTCTTGACTGACAGCTGTTACTTTTCAAGTAGACTCCTACTTCATTTAGTTAGTTGATTAAGCCTGAATAATTCACGCGACGAAGTCGGTGTGTCATCCAATGAATTTCAATGCAAAATTGGAATATAATTAATTATTTAATAAATCTCGCTAGGAGATGTCAACGGGTATGTTTCTTACCTCTAAATAAAGATAACAAGTACTGGGAGAAATTAATCACCTACTTTCCTCTGATACGACACGGACCGCATAGAAGAAGACGCCTCCAACAGTTCTTTTGGTGAGTGTGTATTTGTTGCAGCGGTAACATTTTACCGAGCCGTTGCCTAGCAACGATAAGGGGATACATATAGACACGCAGACTGATGGGAGGTATTTATGAAGTAAGCCGTTAAGATGGGCGCAGGTGCCATGATGTACATACCAAATTTAATGAAGACTGGTTCAGGCATTCAGTAGTTAATAGGGCGGGGGATATACAGACAGCATGGCGATTACATAAGCCTACTTTTATTTTTTTTCAAAATAAGGAAAGCAGGCTGAAAAACGTATTAATGTAAGCTGTATCGATCGGTTTGGGTTTCGTTGCATCTTTGGAGTCAGAATGAAGTATTTTGCCTCGTTACCTGTTGAACATGCGTGAACTTGCTTTCAGGAAGAAGTTTAAGCGCAGTCACAATGCTTCTCAGATTTAAGTTCTCACGAATGTGACCGTTGAGTTTACTGTCTTTTGGGCTGTCACACCATACAGTTTGTTAAATAGGTGCCAACGTTCTGGAGGAGCGTGCGCTGCTATCTTCAGTTTTGAAGGACTTATACGCTGAAGATAGAAGCAGCACATTCCTCCGAAACGTTGGTATTTATCTACCTGACTATAGGGCGTCACGTCCCAAAATATATTAATCTTCAACAAAATTATAAGTACTAATTAGTTTTGTTGTATATTTATACGAGATTTCCATGCATTTCTTATGTGCTTCTTTCGCTCGTATGTAATTGTGATAGATTCCTAGTGTTATGAATGCGAACATGGTTTCATTTCTTACAGGATAAGACATTTACTATCAGCAATCGTTTAACTTACTCATTGCTGTGAGTTTAGGCTCTTGAGAGCTAACTATGCACTTGATCTATCAGTACTAACTATAACAGTATCTCCTTTAACTTTTGGGTCCTTGTGCAATAAATTGCCTCATTCTGTCTCGCACTGTGACATATTTTAAGGTTTAATATTCGAGTAGTAAAAATACCTACCTGGAAGGAGATGGACAACTCAGATGTGCATTCCCCAGTATAGTAGGGCTGGAAGGTGAGAATGTCACTTCTTGATTTAAAGGGATGGAATTGTTTATAACCCATTCCCAGTTTTCGGGAATAGAGTTTGACGTAACGCAAGCCATAGAGTCGTTAAATTGTTCACCAATTGGACAGCATTTCGGAATCTCGAATTGCCTTTTAGCTGAAGAGCAGAACACTATTCGAAAATGGACACCGAGAATCACTATCAACTTCAAACAACTGGACATAACTTATTTAAACAAAGATCAGATGCAAACACAAAAGACTGAACTACATGTTGATTTGTATACGATTCAGAACTTCTTTATCTCGATATTTTGCAGTGGTTAGACGTAACAGATTTCCGGGAAGCACATGGGAGGTGTTCAGTAACCACAATAAAGAGGTTACTCAAATAACTTACACCGGAAGAAGTTTTGTTGTGCACTTTTTTTCTTATGTTGGAAAACCGCTGTATCATAACAGGCATGTTTTATTCCTGAAGCTCTCTTCAGTATATTGTTGTGCACAACACACACACAAGAGTGTGCAGTGAGCAGTACTTCACGTCTTAGAAACACAACATCTTTATTTCGACATCGTAAACAAACGAATGTGCGACTACAACATATGACAATCGATACATCACTAATCGACAAGACTGCATTCAACCTTTCATATAAGTGAAATGTGATTTAACATAGATGTTCTAACCGCTCACTTCGTTGTGCCCCTTACATTGGTCTCCACTTATCACCATCCTCTTCCTTCCGGTGTTGCGGTTCACCTGCACCTCTTTCTGGACACCTCCACTGGAGTTACTGCCCTCCTCCTTCTTCTCGTGGATGGCGAGAAATTAGCTGGGAAGGGAGGAAGATTTTGGTTGTTGGTGCTGGTAGGCGAGAGTTCTGTTTCGGTACTACATTAAGTGTCTCGCAAGTAGGGAAAGATGGGAGTATCTGGGTTCTGTTCTGTAATTGGTAGAGATGAGTTCTTATCCCTGGGTCTTATACGTGTCTGGCTCGAGCAGGGCAGGAAGAATCTTTCCTTGCAATCACACTCACCACTTCAGACTTTTGCAATTAGTAATTATTTAATTCACTCCAGCTCACCGAATACAAAGGAGTCTATTAGTAACACTTATTTAGAAATTTACTTATAATACTTTTACTGAAGGGACGTAGTTGTAATTTGTGCCTGACTTGGCCGAAAGTTGGATGCAGACTCCTTGAGGTGGAATGCACTCTCTCTGAATCCTGAAGTCCACGAACCACAGACTCCAAGAGAAATCCATTCCTCCAACCTTTTCCATTGGTTAAGTTTTCTAACTAGGAGGTTCCCTAAATTTGTTAATTTCCAATCATGTTGCTTTGCTATGTGACTGGCAGTTGCTGACCCGACGCTAAGGTTGACAGCGACTTGATGCATTACGACCAAGGGATGAGGCTCCGGCCCTCCCACTTCTAAGTTATAGCTGTTCCAAGCTGTCAGCTCTCAAATTATCAAAGACTTTCCGACTTTGCTGAAACTGCCAGAATTCCAGGAAAAGTACCAGATGTTACTTCCTGTCCACATAGCAAAACTTGAACTATGTCCCTTCTGCATGTAAGAGTTGGCTAGCTGCCGGATCTCTTTGTATTTACTTGATATTTACTTAATATTGTGACATGTTGCGCCAAGCCGAGNACCCAAGAGTTCTAGTGTGGCTACCGCAGAGTTGTACTGAGTCAGTCAGCGAGTCCTGGAGCTACCGCCGAGGTAGCCAGCGACTAGTCAGTTGAATTGTGGCATTTGGAGTGTACTAATTGTGATACTGCAGATAGCAGTAATCGTCAGATTGTAATTTGGGTGATTGTAAGTGCGAATGTGAAATAAAATTCGCTACATCGAATACATCGAGAAGTTATTTGTCGCGATATACGCCCGATACGCGACAATATAGATTTAATTAATACAAAATAGTTCACCAATTAGGATGAACGGTTACAATGTCGACCATGAAGATGGTCATATTAGGTCCGAAACATCTCGGGATAAAATAATATTTGCTCAGAAAATGTAAATAAATTAGATCTATTTTTGATGATTGATTTCACGTTGTATTTTTATATATAGAATATGGGCAAAATGAACTTTATCAAATTATCTGCTTACTACAGTTGAGTGCAACAAAATGCAAGCTTTGCCAAAATTCGTTGAAAGTGCTATAAAACGATAAACATCTGACGCTCGAGCACCGCCTGTTGAAATCTGTCATCAGACATAGTAACGACCTGCTATTACTGGTCTAAATTATTTCAGTACTGCAACAGTATGTAAACATGGATAAAAAACGAAGAGATAAAACGTGAAAGATTGATTTATGTCTGAAAGGAGGTCATCGTAACCTAGAAAATAAAAGCAGCATGACTCCTCAAGAAGAATTGTGGACGGGCAAAAACAAATGTGTTATATGTGTACTTTACATGTAATCATTCAATCAATTTCATCATTCAATTCAATACATGTAATTATTCAATCATAATTTAATTCAATAGTTATGCTGAGCTTCAAAAAATGAAATAATTTTTATATTCAGCCAGTGATCTGGATTCTGGTTTCCAATTAATGCAGTATTTTACGTGACGTCATAGTACGTTCTCCTTTCGAGCCCCGAGCAGTGAGATTTATATTCTGTGTCAACGTCTTTGTTTGGTACACTTTACACGAACGTGCTTTTTGCTTAGTGTAACTACAGTTATCGTGGCCGTAAAGTTCGAGATTGTGGCTTGTAGACCCGTTGCTAGACGGCGACCGCGAGATAGGCGACTGTACAGCGGCCGTTGCTAGATAGCGGCCCGCAAACAGCAACAGAGGAATGATGTTTTCTGAGCGGTCCGCTAAGCAACAATTACACAGCCACAGATAAACTGCGTTTTCTTTGCAGTCCGTGCCGAGATACTATAAGTAGGACAATTAGTGAGTTTGTTTGTGAGTGAGGAAGTTAGTTAGAGCAATGTTTCTCAAACGCCGGGCCGCGACCCGGTACCGGACCCTGGCATCCACAATACCGGGCCCTCGTCTTATAGAAAAAAGAATTTACCGGGTCGCGGTCTGACAAAGGTTAAGAACCACTGAGCTAGAGGACTACTGCGGTTCAGTCCTTGTGAGCGGTTGCTGATAGAAGATGGTAGCTGAAGCACGAGGACATTTCGGGAACCCAGAGGAACGGGAACGTCCGCCGTTAGAAGCCGTTACCAGAAAACTGTCGACGACACAACAGGTTGAGATGACTTAAGTGTGTGCTTTAGTGAATTGCAGAGTGTAAATTAACAATAGCGCTACCATTACTTGTAGTTACGAATTGTGTAAGTGTTCTATAAATCCAATTACAAATCCAAACCCCACACGCTTACACGTGACAGTATCAACCGAATCATTCTATTTCAGTGACGAAGACCGAGCGAAATCTTCGTAAGCTATACAGCAACATTTCGCATTCGAAGTCTTGCCTTTAATACACATGGCACTTATTGTTTTAATAATCATATGAATAGTAATATTATTGCAATTACTCTTCAATAAATTTTTATTTATTTGTTACCATCGTCATCCTTTCAGCCTTTCTCTCTTAGTCATAATGTTAAGTGTTTTATATTTCGGGAATATCGTATGGTATGTGTGACGACTGAGGCGTAGGATTTCGAGTCCTGGTAGGGTCAAGAATTTTCTTTTCTCCAAATCGTCCAGACCGGCTCTGGGGTCCACCCAACCTCCTATTCAATGGGTACCGGGGGCTCTTTTCCCGTGGGTAAAGCGGCCGGGACGTGAAGTTGACCACTCACCTCCAACTAGTGCCGAGGTCAAGAAGAATGTGGATTTATACCGGGGTACGCGGTAACGTAGTTGGTTGAGGCACTATGTTACAAGCCCGAAGGTCGCGGGTTCAAGTCCCGATGAGGTCATTTGATTTTTTCAGTTGACATAATCCTTCCAGCCGCACTATGGCCCTGGGATCAACTCAGCCTCTAACAGAAATGAGTACCAGGAATATTCTGGGAGTATTCTTGGGGGTAAAGGGCGGCCGGCGCGTAGGGCTGACAACCTTGCCGCCAGCTATGGGCCGATTGTCTAGAAAATGTGGGAACCTCAACATCTCACAACCCCATACCCCTTCATGGCGCAGTGCTCAAATTCGTTGAGCACAGGGACAACTTTACCTTTTTTTCCACCTTTACATGTCTGATATTCACGAAGTAACATCACAAACGCCTTTTATTGTAAGTGGAAAAAGCATAGTTTATTTAATATTTATTCTTTCACTCGCGACCCAAATGTATAAAAGTAGGCATTCGGCCTGAAGTATGAGAGGTTGCATAACGAACCACAAAATCGCAGTTCGGCCATCGTGATACCACTTGATACCAACCGTACAGAAGGAACATTTGGACCTTGGACGAATATGTTGCCAGCCTGATCAATGTGTTACGTTAGAGGAGTTATGGTGTTTGTCATATCTTAATCGTGTTTTTTATACATTTTCGTTAAGTAATCATATGTATCACTTTTAATATGACTGATAAGGAGTATGTGGGTTTATCGGTAGGTGGTACGGTGGAGCCTAGCCAAGCTGTACAGTAATCTCGCCATGTAGCGGTACTGTGTACTGTACTTTGGTTAACTTTTATAACATTTTTCTGATTTCGCTTTTTCGTAGAAGGAAGAGATTGCCCGGCAGTTCATGCTGCCGGAAAGAAAGTCAAAGATAGCCACGCTGCTAAAACAAGATGGTCAGGCGTACTGTATCTGCCGGTCATCGGATTCGTCCCGGTTCATGATGTGAGTACCATTCAGGTTAGATTTGATGGTTTGTAGGCTATGATGAAAGTCGTTTGTGCATGATTTTGTATGCAAGTAGTGTGTGGAATATGAGAAATGAGCATGGTAGGGAAATATCAGTGTCAAAGACTATGTGTTACTGTTAAAAAAAGGAAGATCTTTAGAAGGAAATATTTCATAGATGGTAATAAGCAAAATGTGTAACATGACAGAGCTCATACATACATATACGTGCAGGCACACAATATACGGACATCGAAGTGTGTATGGAATTTACAGGGAGATGCATGAAGATTACTGTCATCTCGGATTTTACACCGTGTAGTTTGGTATGTAGTTTCCAGCACTTCTGTCCTGGAGATGAAGACAGCAGATTCCTAAAAAATTTGGGTACCGACATACCAAACTCCTGGCTATCTGGTATCCAGGTATCTGGAATTCTCATTCATGTGGCAAATATTTCAAAGAAAATTAGGATTTTTATAAAGTTGTTCAAAAACAAATTTTCAATATTCACTTGCAGTAGTTTTCAAAGCTTCCACTAGCAGTGCTACCCATCCGACCATCCTACTCACACAGGTGTCCTTATGATAGAGGCTAGTTGAATTTGTGATCATTTTACTGTATGCGTATCCAAAATCTGTTACCTTGTTGTTACCTAGGAAGACCCCCACACAAGAACCAAAGTGAGAATGTGGTGTTTTGACTTTTTATTGGGTTTCTGTAAGGGTTTTCGTAATGTTGGCAGATTCACGTAACTAGCACACCTTATTTCCCATACATGCTGGGTAACTGGGAGTTTGCTGTACATGGCTTCACATCCCAGCAGATAGTAATCTTCATAGTTACTGCCATAAATCTGGTATATCACAGTGACATACCTGATTACAGTCTGTCAGTCATTTCATTTAATCAGTATATAATTTGCATTCAAATTATAATTCAGTTGTTAGTTATCAGTCTGTTTTAAATATAGAAAAACGTTGTATGTAGAAATGTGCTAAATGCAGGAGTTACTTCATACTTTAAGATAATGTGTACTATATATAAACACAGAACAGGATGCATTAGTTGCATTCCTTTTTGCAGAGGATGTGACAACTGTGAAGAGTGGTATCATGGTGACTGTATTCGCATCACAGAGAAGGAGTCCAAATACATCAAGCAGTTTTTTTGTGTGGTACAGGCTTTTCGCTTTATTCTTTATATGTAAAAATCAAGATCAAAATACTTTTAAGAAATTTTTGATCAGTTTCAGTTTCCAACTCTTAATTTATTTACATGCTTACTGAAGAGCCCACAGGCTAGTTATAAAGTAAGCAGGAGCAAAAGAAGGTAACAAAATGCATGAAACAAAGCAAGGTGTGTAATTTAGACAGTAATAAAAAGTCAAATAAGTTGAATTACACCAACCATTATATGCAGAAAAAGGGGGCATGCAGTAGCGTAGTTGGTTGACGTATTATGCTACAAGCCAGTAGACTGTGTGTTCGATTTCCGTTGAGGTAATTGGATTTTTCAGTTGACCTAATCCTTCCAGCTGCACTATGGCTCTGGGGTCATCTCAGCCTCTAACAGAAATGAGTCCCAGGAATCTTTCTGGAGTTGAAGGGCAGCTGACGAGTAAGGGTGGCAACCTCACTGCCACCTGCGAGCCGATTGTCTAGAAAATTGGGAACCTTGACACCTCACAACCCTATGGGCCTCCTTGGCCTATTTACAAGAATAGGTTTACCTTTTTTATTATGCAGAAAGAATAATGTATACATATATTCATATTAAATAAAATTAATGTTGTACGAGGAGCATTCTGTATATAATGCCTCCTATTTTTTTTAAAGAAAACTACAACAGATACAGAAAGCAATATAATGCAGTTAAATGGAGCAAGCTTTCAGCTACATACAGTTATTTTTCCACATAATCACCACCATTCGTTATGCACTTTTGCCAGCGATGAACAAGAGCCTGTTTGCCGTGTGTGTAAAAGTTTGCGCCAGCAGAGGCTAGCTACTTTCTTACAGCTGCAATGACAGCATCATTGTCTGGAAAATGTTGCCCATGTAGTCCGTCTTTCATAGGCCCAAAGAGATTTAAGTCTGAAGGTGCTAAACTGGGACTATAAGGTGGATGTGGTAGGACAGTCCAGCCAGACTTTGCAATGTGCGCAGTGGTCGCCAGACTGGTATGGGGTCTAGCGTTATCGTGTTGCAAGCGAAAGATCGTCTGCTTCTCTGACCTGACTCGGGAAATGCAGGCTTTCAGCTTAGTCACCATTGTCTTGTAGCATTCAGAATTGACAGTCTCACCAGGCTCCAGGAAATCCAAGAAAATCACACCCCACCTATCCCAAAAGACTGTGCACATCACTTTCCCTGCCGATGGCTGTGTCTTGAACTTTTTTTTTCGTGGGGAATCTGGATGTCGCCACTCCATGGAGTGTCTTTTGGATTCCGGCTCATAGTGGTGGCACCATGTCTCATCTCTGATGACGATGCTGTCCAGAAACTTGTCAGCTTCAGCCTCAGACTGGTACAACGGGCCCTGACAAACTTCAGTTTGATGAGTTTTGTGGTCCTGTGTAAGCATCCGCGGGACTCACCTGGAACAAACTTTGCGATAATCCAGCTTCCCCAACATCGTTTCCAGTGCATTACAGCTAATATTAAGCTGTACACCCAATTCCCTGGTTGTTATCTGCCGATCTGTACGGATGAGGTGCTGTTCATTATGAGGAGTGGCATCTGAGCAGGGACGCCCAGGGTGTGGCTTGTCATGCACTTCACTTTCGCCACTGTTGAAATGCACTGCCCACCACCTCACTGTGCTGACATTCACTGTATTGTCTCTGTACACCTTTAGGAAGTGTTGATGGAAGTCAATGGATACAATTTGTTCGGCAGTGAGAAATTCAATAACACATTTCTGTTTCTTCCGCACTTCTAAGTCAGACACCATTTTGGTAGACTGCTCTGCTGTCGCTATCTATTGCACAACAACCAACCTAACAGTACATTGGCGGGAAGGTTCAACCTTTACTACAACACCACCAACATCCATCTCAGACATTACACATTAACACAAAAAAAAAATAGGAGGCATTATTTATGGAACAGGAAGTACTACCATAAAATTTGATTAAGAGGAACGGTTTTTATTCCATGACATGTAAATAGAAAACAATTATTTGTTCAATATTGCTATTGTGTAGAAAGGTGATTAGGATATATGACATTTCCCTGAATGTAAGCTGCACTTTTCCTCACAATTGACACAGATTGTGGGTTATAAGTTGTTCTTAAAGAAAAAAGTTATTGCATTGTCCAAGTTCAGTAAAGGTACAGAGTTCATTGTTATAACCAAGAGGTGGCACTTGGTTGTGATTAAATGATATGTCAGTGCAAGCTCAATTTTAACCAGTGTTACCAACTAGTAGAGTCCTAATTGAAATGTGTCATACCTAATTTTTAATGTTATTGGAAGCCTCCCATGAACCAAAAAAATTAAATTAACATGTTTCAAGTAATGTACGTAACTACTTGGAGTAATGTGTATGTACTGTATACTTGTCAGACCCAATAGGAAAGCTAAGTCCAGGATGTTCGTGTCAGCTGCTATTGAATGACCAATATGAGAAGACTGCTTAAGATAAATGTGCTACTTGTTGAAAAAGGAGAGTAAAAATTATGCATTGTTCATAGGAGTGAGATACCATTACTAGGATGTTTGTAATTTAGTAATCAGTTTTATGCTGGCAAAACTGTGTAAACATTNAAGAAGACTGCTTAAGATAAATGTGCTACTTGTTGAAACAATAGAGTAAAAATTATGCATTGTTCGTAGGAGTGAGATACCATTACTAGGATGATGTAATTTAGTAATCAGTTTTATGCTGGCAAAACTGTGTAAACATTGACATTATTGCCATGCTAAAACTTTGAAGAATTATAGCAAGAGAAATATGGTTGTCTTCTATTTGCAGCGTTGCCGAGAAGAGGACCCAACTTTGGTGACAAAATATAAACCAAGAAAACGGGAGGGTGAGCGAACTACACCTGGTACAGAAGAACGGAAGGCAAAGAGAAGAAAGGATAAACTGGACTCATGTGAAATTTGTAAGTATTTCTTTCTCTTGTTTGTTGTTTCGTTGTATGATTTGATGATCAAAAACTTTAGTTCCCTAAGGTGTAAGGGCTATGTATCCATGATTAAATTGATTGAGATCTAAATAGGAATTAGAAGAAAACAAAAACAGTTCCCTTTTTTGTGTCCCGTGTTCAGTTATTCATGTTTCAAAATTAATCCTTGTTTTCCTTTATCAAAAATATCTGGGGTAGAGCAACAAAGAACTATGGCAATGACCTCTTACATAAGCCTGTATTTGCTTATACAGTACAGTAAGGCTTGCTTCATATAACGAAGATCTCATTACATACTGTAACTTTTATAGAAGCCAATTTTAATATGATCAGAATATAAGGAAAATAATTGATATCACTGCAGTGAAATAGCTCTGGTTGATTAGCTGTATCAGCAATAGCATGTATGGCTACGTACAGTGTAATATTTGTTACATGTACAAAGGCAAATCGAAAAGCCTTTGCCCCTATTTTTTTTTCAGCCACAACAATACACATACAGGGAAATCAAAATACAGGCAGTGTTCTAAGTACCTTTGACTATTTTTTCACATAGTCACCACCCCGGTTCAGGCATTTGTCCCATTGCACCACTAGTTTGGAGATACCGCTGTTGTAGAATTCAGAACCACCGCCAGGCAGCAGTTTTTGCGTCATCATCAGAAGTGAACCTCTGGCCTGCCAGGAGCTTCTTCAGTGGACCAAAGATGTGGTAATCTCTGGGGGTGAGGTCTGGACTATACGGTGTATGTTCCATAATCTCCCATCTGAATGACTGCAGTTGCGCCTGGGGATTCTCATGGATGATGTGGTTCTCCTCCACGACAATGCCAGGCCTCATGTGGGAAACAAGACCGCCACCCGACTGCAGTCATTTGGATGGGAGATTATGGAGCATGCACCATATAGTCCAGACCTCGCCCCCAGTGATTACCTCGTGTTTGGTCCACTGAAGAAGTTCCTGGCAGGCCAGAGGTTCATTTCCGATGATGACGCGAAAACCGCTGTCCCTCGGTGGTTCCACATTCAACCAGCCGAATTCTACCACAGCAGCATCTCCAAACTAGTGGTGCGATGGGACAGATTCCTGAACTTGGGTGGTGACTATGTGGAAAAATAGTCAGAGGTACTTAGAACACTGCCTGTATTTTGATTTCCTTGTATGTGTATTATTGTGGCAGAAGAAAAATAAGGGCAAAGACTTTTTGATTTGCCCTCGTAACATCAGTAGATGTGTACCTGCAGTATAATAAAAAAGTTGTCCCTGTGCTTAACGTAATAAGCACTACACCATGAAGCCATATAGATCCACATTTTGTTGGCCCCTGGCACTAGTTCGAGGTGAGTGCTCAGCTTCACGCCCGGCCGCTTTACCTCAGGGGAGAGATCCTCCGATACCATTTGGATAGGAGGCCAGGTGGGCCCCAAAGCTGCAGAGAAGTGAAAATTCTTGCCCTCACTGGGACTTGAATTCCAATCCCTTGGTCATCCAGCCTGTAGCCATTCGCTATACCAACTGCACTATTCTCGTTCTGCAGTATAGTAAATTTTTCCACTAATGTTTGGGCACAGTATAGTATACTGTTCTCCAGATCATGTAATTGTTGTCTACAATTTCACGTATTTATATTAACAAAGTACAGTAAATGTTGATTTTGTTGCAGTGGAGGACAACAATATAAAGCCTTTGCCATTGTCATCCCCTTTGAAACGTTGTGGGAAGTGTCTGGGGTGCTATCGCACAGACGACTGTGGGCGATGTGATGGCTGCCGTTCTGCTAATAGAGCACGGCACAAGTGTCGGCAGCGTCAGTGTCTCAACAATATCCTTCAGGTACAGTATTAAAGTAGTGGGTACTAAGTACACTGTACAAGTCATCTTATTACATTCTGACAACAAAGATTTTGCAGGATGTGGATCAGTCCCAAAAGGTACGCCAGTCATCATCAGTGCGTCGCAAAAGGAAGGACTCAAGCTCAGATGGTGGGGAGCGCTGGGGAGGTGCCGGATCTCGCTGGCTCCAATCTGATAAACCACGTCAGTGTTACGGGCCAGCATGTGTTCGGGCAGCCCGCCCAGGTAGTAAATATTGCAGTGATGACTGTGGCTTGAAACTGGCCACCAACAGAATCTACCAGGTTTGTGAAACATTTGCATCTCTTAAAGGACCATTTTACTGTACTTAGTATAAAAAACATTATATTGTAATGTTTAAAAGATTTCAGTAATATTGTTGCTGGCAAATACTTAGTTCAGGTAAATGTATGCTGTTGACTGAAATTGTGCTTGTTAATATTTCATATACGTGGTGCAATCCAAAAGTTCCCGAAATATGTTAATAAAAACTATTACAGCTTACCTAGATCTTATTCTGCACCATCACCTTCAAAGTAGTCCCTTTGGGAACGCATACACTGATCCCAGCGTTCTGCCACTTTTCAAATGCATCCTGGAAGTCTTTCTTTGTTGGGTGTTTAGTACCGTCTGCGTTTCCGCTTGAATTTCCTCAGCTGTATCAAATCTTCGCCTCTTCAACTTGATTTTCATCTTGGGAAAGAGAAAGAAATCGCATGAGTACAGTGGGTGGGGAACAAGTGCCATCTTCTTTTTGCCAAAAATTCCTGCACAATGTAAGCCGTGTGCGGTCGTTCGTTGTCATGGTAGAGTTCCCAGTCGTAGGTGCACCACTTCTCTGGACGTTTTCTCCTCATGTTCTCCCTCAAACACCTTAGAAATTCACGATATAACTCTTTGTTGACTGTCTGACCAGGAGGGACGAACTCCTTATGAACAATCCCGTCAATATAAAAAAAAACAGATCAACATGGACTTAATGTTGCTCTTGACTTGTCAAGCTTTTTTTTTGGCCGAGGTGAAGAAGGGTTCTTCCATTGCGACGATTGCTGCTTGCTTTCAGGGTCATAGCCATAAACCCAACTTTCGTCACCAGTGACAACCTTCGAAAGAAAGTTTGGATCCTCTTGAAACTGTTGTTGAAGTTCCCTGCAGACTTCCAAGCGATGTTGATTCTGTTCATTTTGTAGCAGTCGTGGCACAAACTTCGCCACAATCCTCCTCATGTTCAGTTCCTCTGACAAAATTCGTTGACATGTACCATAACTTAGTCCCAAGGTGTTACAGAGGTCTTGGATGGTCAGTCTATGATCTTGCAGAATCAGATCCCTAACTTTCGCGACATTTTCTGGTGTTTTGCCGGTTGACGGCCGTCCCAAACGATCGTCATCATCAGTCGTTCGGCCATTTTTAAAACGCTTATACCAGTTGTAAGTTTGTGTCTGGCCTAAACTGTTTTCACCAAAAGCTTGCTTCAACATTTGGTGCGTTTCTGCAGCGGTTTTCCCAAGTTTGAAACAAAACTTTATACAGACATGCTGCTCTCTCAGGTCAGCCATCGCAAAACCGCAAACTCACGGAAACACAACAATGGAAATACGTTCACCAACAATAAACCCAACCACTCAACTCGACGCCGCTTGCCACACTGATTCAAGAAGGATGTGTTCGGAAACACCTAGCGGTATTTCGATGTACTCATAACCATTCGCTCGCAAAATTCAAATTTCAGAATCTTTTGGATTGCCCCACGTACTTCATTTTGGCGTGACGAAGATTCAAGTAAGAGTCCTGATGAGTAACGTGAGAATGATGCCATGCAAAGAACAAATTTTTCTACCAAAGATTTAATCAAAGCCACATCGTTATGTGTGATAATTACAATAACATAAATCAGAATGTTAAATTTGTCCCTCTGCTTAATTAAGTGCCAAATGATGAAGATGTATGGGGGAATGAATATACAGCTCCACACATTCTTATCCTCAGCACTAGATGGAAGTGACTGGTCAACTGCATGCAAGGTCTGCTTTACCCTTTTTACCTATAGGGAGGGAACCTGGATACCCTGTGTGGGTCCCAGAGCCTGACTGGCCACAGTGGAGAAGAGAAAATTCTCTGCCCCTGCTGTATGGTTAAACTTAGTCCTGCCTGTAGCCTAATCATTATACAGACAGAGCTATCCCTTAGTGATGATGACTGTGTTTCAAGGAGCAACAGCATTTTTGGCTATTTGCATATATCTAAATGCTAAATATTTTTATAAATTGGGCTTCTAAAATGTAAAAAGGATGCAGTGATTAAGACCTAAAACAGAATTCTAAGAGAACAAAAAGTGAAATTCTAATATTCCGTTAGACATAAAACAGCAAACAGAATTATCAGAATGAGGTTGTATATGTACATATATTTCTACATACGAGGGTTGGAACTTTAATAGTGCTCTCATCTATACAGTGTATGTGTTTCACACTGTTGCTGTTTACAATATTAGGTGTTACCCCAGAGAATCCAGGAGTGGGCACTGTCCCCATGTGCAGCTGAAGAAAGTAATAAACGTGCACTGGAGAGCGTACGCAAACACCAGCTGGAAGTGCGGAGGATCCTACAGGAACTGGACAAGAGACATAAGGTATATGTATAATTATGATTGTTGTATCAAGCACTCATTAGTATCATCCTAATGCACTTCCATTGTTTAGTTTTATTAATTCAAAGCAGAGAGTCTTAATTAAAGCTTCCCAGCATTTCCATAATTTCATGCATAATTAAACATGGAGACAACTTTACCTTTTACCATAATCTACCTCCAAATCTCTTCCTTTATTTGTAATATACTCGCATTCTGTATTCTTATACTGCTTTGTCAGTCTTTATCGATCTTGTGTACATACTGTTCTAATGATTTGACTTAGACTTCGAATATAATTGTCGGTCTTTACAGGAACTGGATGCAATAATCGAGCGAGCCAAAATGGCAACAGTAGAATTACGCAGTGAGGAAGATTCTGAGGATGAAGGAGAGATGAGCATGTACTGCATCACCTGCGGTCATGAAATTCACTCACGAATGGCCATCAAACACATGGAGAAATGTTTCAATAAGGTATTTTTTTTAATATACCAGCATTTGCCTAATACCATCATATAAAGAAATTTGTATGACAGACACACACTTGGTTTGATAGCCAAACGTTAACAGTCATTCACAAAAAATTCCATTCTGAACTCTCTTTCTATATTTAGCCTGATTTCTGTAAGAAAATAAAAGTAGATTAGTGAAGCCACAGTGTTGTGTGTATCCATTTAAACTTTTGAACCTATTGACTAGTTTCCACCAGACTTAGTATGAAGTGTGTGCCATAAGATGCAACTCTGTTGCCATACTTTATAATTTCCTGCCATCTTTAATAAAAGCATGGAGACTCACAAACCTGTGAGGTAGTAGTGACATTAACACCATATAATCTAGGGTTCTGAAATGATATGGGAATCTACCTTAAAAGAACAGCAGCTTTCTTTTAAGGAAACAAAACAAACTCTGTGTCCTGTAGTCCGCAAGCAAACTATACCAACTGAGCAACCGCCACTTGTTGGTGAAGTTAGTGCCAACTTTAGCAGATAGAGGGTGTCACGTGGTCAGTGCAATGGATCCCCACCGCCGTTAATTTCAGTTTTCTAGGCCTGAGCCACTATTTCCTTGAAATAGCTCCTCAGTTATCCTAATGAGGCTGATTGGACCCCGTTCCAGACCCACTACTTCACAGAAAATCTGGTAGTGCCAAGAATTGACCCTGGGACCTCTGGATCTGTAGCCAGGAACTATGACCACTACACCACAGAGTTCATTTTTTTTGTTCTTTTAAGGAACATTTTGTAAAATGCAAAATAATAATATGGCAGCCACAAGAAATTTTTTCTAAGCTTTTGGTTTGATGACAGTAGTTAGTTAGTTAGTTAGTTAGTTAGTTATTGGAGAGGGTGGGTTTCCCCATGCACTTAGACCTGTCTTGGTCCATTGTGCTTCCCTCTATGATATTCTACCAGTCTCTATATCCTACTGGTACTGGTGCTTACCATCAGTCGCGCCCAGCCAGCGAGATCGGCCTCTACTAGCTGAGTGGTATCTATAATGCTTCCCCCATCTACCAGAGGTATTAGAGACTACTTTTGGGCGGGAAACATCCGTAATTTTGCTCAGTGGCCTCCTTTGGAGACATGAGGTTCTTTTACGTGCCGTAAAGCTACGACACGGGACCCACGGCTTAAAGTCCCTCCCGGAGGACTTGTTCCCTGAATTTTTCCGCCCTTAAAAATTCGACGACCTCCGCCGGGTATTTGAACCCGCGTACTACGAGTCATGAGGTGGGAATGTTACCTCTAGACTACAGAGGCCGCTTTTGATGACAGTAACTAATGAACTGCTGGATTTAAGCACATGAAATCTGATAGATCATGAATGTGTCCACACACTGTGTATGAAATATTGTTTGTAAGTCAGCAGCTACAAGTATGGCAGCTGTGCAAAACTTCAAGGTGATACCTGACATATTTAATGTGACAGGATCTGTACTTAACCTTTAAGAGACAAAGTACGCCATATGGGACATTTAAAGTGTAGTCGTCATGGCTGAAGTGCACCATATGGGACGTGTAGTCCACGCGCGTGCACAGTGTTTTGAAAAACTAATTTTAAGATAGAAATCTTTGTTTTACTTACATTCTTTTTTGGCATCAGCTTGATAAATAAACAGGCTTCACTCCTGCATCATCTAACTGAATCTAGTCTTCATGTGGTACTTGTGGAATCACCCGAAAATGCAGTCCGTCGCATTTTATGCACTTTGTTCTGATATTTCTCCTCTTTCCACGTGAAGAGCACACATGACAGTTCAGTCTCGTGGTTGAGGCAGTTGGCCAGTGATGTCGGTTGGCTTCCTCTGATCGACATATTGTAGATGACAAAGCAAGAGGTCGATCTATGGGCCGTTGTGGGCGAGGTGGGCCCCTTGCAGCATGTTCCAGTATATTTCGCACAGGGGCAAGATGAAAGTCTCGATGTGACAGTTTTGCACCACAGCATGACAATATGACGAAACTGTTCAGAATCATCAGATCCAAGAAATGGAAGAATAATTTGTTTGTCCATTTCCAGGTATGACCACTGATGAAATAGCTGTTTGTCATTCTGTCTGCCTTGTCGACGTATCCTATGTGCTTGTTGTAATCCTCAACAATTGCTGGTATGATGGCATTTCCATGCTCNTCACCCGAAAATGCAGTCCAACGTCGCATTTTATGCACACTGTTCGGATATTTCTCCTCTTTCCACGTGAAGAGAACACACGACAGTTCAGTCTCGTGGTTGAGGCAGTTGGCCAGTGATGTCGGTTGGCTTCCTCTGATCGACATATTGTAGATGACAAAGCAAGAGGTCGATCTATGGGCCGTTGTGGGCGAGGTGGGCCCCTTGCAGCATGTTCCAGTATATTTCGCACAGGGGCAAGATGAAAGTCTCGATGTGACAGTTTTGCACCACAGCATGACAATATGACGAAACTGTTCAGAATCATCAGATCCAAGAAATGGAAGAATAATTTGTTTGTCCATTTCCAGGTATGACCACTGATGAAATAGCTGTTTGTCATTCTGTCTGCCTTGTCGACGTATCCTATGTGCTTGTTGTAATCCTCAACAATTGCTGGTATGATGGCATTTCCATGCTCATCACAGAAATTGCTTCTGCTGGAGGAGAGTGCATGTTTGTCAACATATCAGTGTCACGTTTATCCTTCCAAACTAGTGCTGTCATGTCCCCTCTGACCATAACCCGAATGTCACCTTTCTTCAATCGAAGTTGTCTGTTGCGAAAGTCTTGNGATGACAGAGCAAGAGGTCGATCTATGGGCCATTGTGGGCGAGGTGGGCCCCTTGCAGCATGTTCCAGCATATTTCACACAGGGGCAAGATGAAAGTCTCGATGTGACAGTTTCGCACCACAGCATGACAATATGATGAAACTGTTCAGAATCATCAGATCCAGGAAATGGAAGAACAATTTGTTTGTCCATTTCCAGGTATGACCACTGATGGAATAGCTGTTTGTCATTTTGTCTGCCTTGTCGATGTATCCTATGTGCTTGTTGTAATCCTCAACAATTGCTGGTATGATGGCATTTCCATGCTCATCACAGAAATTGCTTCTGCTGGAGGAGAGTGCATGTTTGTCAACATATCAGTGTCACGTTTATCCTTCCAAACTAGTGCTGTCATGTCCCCTCTGACCATAACCCGAATGTCACCTTTCTTCAATCGAAGTTGTCTGTTGCGAAAGTCTTGAAGCAAGCCCTTCCAATTTGGTCTGAATTTCCCACAGTAACTTATTTTCTTCGTCATTAGTTCATGAAACAAGTCTGGTGATGAAAAGAAATTGTCCATGTACAGTTTGTGGCCTACTCCCTCAACCCTTCTGCAGAGGNTATGATGAAACTGTTCAGAATCATCAGATCCAGGAAATGGAAGAACAATTTGTTTGTCCATTTCCAGGTATGACCACTGATGGAATAGCTGTTTGTCATTTTGTCTGCCTTGTCGATGTATCCTATGTGCTTGTTGTAATCCTCAACAATTGCTGGTATGATGGCATTTCCATGCTCATCACAGAAATTGCTTCTGCTGGAGGAGAGTGCATGTTTGTCAACATATGAATGTCACGTTTATCCTTCCAAACTAGTGCCGTCATGTCCCCTCTCACGCTAACCCGAATGTCACCTTTCTTCAATTGAAGTTGTCTGTTGCGAAAGTCGAAGCAAGCCCTTCCGATTCGGTCTGAATTTCCCACAGCAACTTATTTTCTTCGTCGTTAGTTCATGAAACAAGTCTGGTGATGAAAAGAAATTGTCCATGTACAGTTTGTGGCCTACTCCCTCAACCCTTCTGCAGAGGTCCCTAACCGTAGCATGTGTCCTGTCTTTCCCTAAGTAAACCTTCATGTCATAAGTATACCCAGCATCATCACAGAGTTTGTAGATTTTGATTCCGAAACATTTGTGTTTCTTAGGAATGTACTGTCTGAAAACCACCCTCCCTTTGAATTTGACAATTATTTCATCAACAGAGAAATGTTCAGAAGGATTATAATAATTTTGATATGCGTCATTTAGAGTATTGAAGATGGTCCGAATTTTCCATAGTCAGTCATGACTGTTGGCATTCCTGTCAATTTCTGTATTGTTATCTGCAAAATGAATGAAACAAAGAATATGAAGAAAACAGTGACGTTTCATTGTGTTGCTGTAGAAAGGCATGCAAAATTGCTCAGCAGTTGACCAGAAGTCCTCTAGTCTGTCCCTTATATTATGTCCTATTTGAATGATGATTCCTAGAAACAGAAACATCTCGGAGTTGATTACATCAGGGTGCAGAGAAGGTCCGTCTTCAAGTCTGTCTTGGTTCTGGTGATAATATCTGTTACTCTCTTCCACCAACAGCTGGATAATTCCTGCAAAGTAAAGCATGAAAATGCAGAGTGGGGCGGAATCCTTATTTACGTGTGGAACTTAATTGAGATTTATCTCCACTGCTCCACCGGGAAAATTATTCACACCCCTCCCGTGATGCTGGTGTGGTGGTCACCAGGTTGTTGACGAAGATAATGGTTCTTCGTTGACTTGACTTTCGGAGCTTCCGTTGTGACCACTGTCAAAATCATCTGTACCACAGTCTGAATCTGTATCACACAACTGCCTTTCAGTTTCATCTTCTTCCAAAGGAATTGAGGTCATTGAAAGTAGGTAGAGAGGACTCAGGTCAGTGTACAATGTGAACTACAGAATCCTCTGATGTAACGTCACAAGAATGTACTAAGTAACCGGCAACGTTTGTAATCTGAGAATATGATTCAGCAGAAACAAATATAAACTTCCCCTCCCTGTAACTGATAAACCAGGAGCCAACATTTATACTGCTGAAACATATTGTGCAGGAGGTGTAAGCATAATTCTAGGCAAACGCTTTAAAAAAAAAAAGGAATCAGTGTAAGAATTTTTACAGATTTTAAGATCTATCAATTACAATATCTGATTCTGTATTCTTTCTAGATAAAAGCAAGGTTAATTTCGTTCGTTTACCACAAAAATTGTATAAGTTACAGCCTTCTTAGTAACATGATCACAAATTTAATCCTCCTCCGGCCTGCTACAACTACCACAATTTAAATAGCCCATCTCTTAAAGGTTAAGTAACAAGTTCATCACAGAAATGAAATAAAACAACTGTAATAGCAGTGATAGGATAAGGACCTGAAATCTGTGCATTGTGGTAGGTAGTCTTTTAAGGGATGTGTTCAGAACTACTTACGTGCTTCTTTCTATGCTTATTTTTAACAAATAAAAATATGAGTAAGTGAGAGTGCTTGCACTAGTATTACTGTGTGCTGTGTGCAAATCCATGTTATTCCCATTTAACCTTTCATAAACATTCTTAGATTACATAATGTCTGTCACTAATATAGAATCATTAAATAACCTACCAACTATTTCTGTTTTTCTTTTTTTTTCAGTATGAAAGTCAGTCATCGTTCGGCTCAATATACAAGACACGTATTGAGGGAAATAACATGTTCTGTGACTATTACAACCCCTCAAGCCGCACATATTGTAAGCGTCTCCGTGTTCTCTGTCCTGAGCATAGTAAAGACCCTAAAGTGAATGACACAGAGGTGAGGAGGTTTTGTTGGATGGTTTTGGTGCAAGGGCAAATGAAGTTTGTTCCATGAATGAATGTTGATACGAAGTTTGATACGTTATGCTACAACAGTGATAATAGCAATAGTAAATCTGAAAGTATGGTGACATTGTAAATGGTAAGAAACTTCAGAAGGAAAAGAATATGTTAGAAATCAGCAGAAAGAAAGAAGTAGCAATTGAAACAAGTTCATTAATGACATATAACATAAGTAAGCACAATAAACTGTTTTCAGACATTGAATCCATGAAACAGTATATGGTGCATTTAGCTGAAACAGATTGCCCAGAAAACAGAACAGCATTTGAAAATGTAAATTCGTATAGATAAAAAATGATATGTTGCATGGAAGATATGAACATTGATTTACCTCTTTCAGTGGATTTTACAGAACATTCCATCATAGTCCGGTGACAACATAATGCGTATGATGCACCATTACAGTCCCTGATTTCAATTTCACATAGCTTGTGGATCTGAAGAGATAGAGAGGTTGAACTATTGCTATTGTATCAGTTGGAATTGTGTTGTCTAGAAAGGTTACACTATACAAGAGACACACATTATAATACCTGCCATCTGTCCTGTTCATTGCATGTGCTCAGGTGGTAAGTTGAGATCACTTTATGTTTGTGAGTTTTTGTAAAATGGCACAAAGCATTTACAAGCCTAAGCATGCAAATAAAGGGTATTTTATGGCCTTTTGTATACCAAATTCTGTGCAGTATTATGCACATACAGTATAATATTAATTGCATTTTAAAACATTTAAGAGTTACGTGGCTGAGAAAAACTATGCAGGGTAGGTTACACCACAGCAGATAAAATTCCCAGACAAATGATTGAATGGTATAGATCAAATGTGTGTATACTTTTCTGTAGCATTGGATGACAGTACATGCACAAGTGACAGCTCAGCACCTGTTGTTTATATGCGGTATGAATAAGAAGTCTGATGTAAGATTTGAGGTTTTCACAGCGGTGACTATGAAGAATGCCATCTTCTGTGCTGTGGCGCCATGTAGATCTGTTGTGAACTGACGTTTTGGAGGAACGTATCGCCTCCATCTTCAGGTAGAAAAATCCGTGAGCAAGGAGCCAGCATTAGAATGTGGTGCCACATCCCAGAAGATGGTATTCTTCAACAAGTTTGATGTCATTACTGAATAAATTTCGGGGGCACGCGGTAGCATAGTATGCTACAAGTCAGAAGGTTGCGAGTTCAAATACCGATGAGGTCATTGGATTTTTTTCAGTTGACCTAATCCTTCCGGCCGCACTATGGCCCTGGGGTTCACTCAGCCTCTAACAGAAATGAGTACCAGGAATTAAATAAATAATTTTCCTGGGGAGTAAAGCGCAGCTGGCGTGTAAGGCTGACAACCTTACTGCCATCTTTGAGCAGACTATCTAGACAATGTGGGACCCTCAACGTCTCACAACCCTATGGGCCTTCACAGCCTGGTACAGGGATAGCTTTACTTTACATTTTACTTACTGAATAAATTTCTGTATAAGCTATGAAAGGCACAAGGACCACTGAGGACTTATATGAAAGGCTGTCAGTTCCCGAATGACATAAGCTATTGTAGAACAAGGTAGCACTGTATCAGCAAATGTGACAGGTAAGAACCTGAGACTCTGGGAAATGGATGGAAGATGCTGTACATGAAATGTGCTGTGCAAAACTGTTTTGAACAACAGACATTTTGTAGAACAGCTGCAAGATTTATATGTCCAGACATCCAAGCACTTCTGTTTTGCTTCTAGGTTCCTTATTTCACTCATTATTCTGTGGAGATACAAGTGGCACAATTTTGGGTGCAAACTTTATCTTTTAATTAAGTAGAACAAACCTTGAAGTTCATTGTGTGGGTTGTTTTGCTTTAAATGGTACAAAGGAACACATTTATTTTGTGTTACTGTTGCCATTGCCCAACATTTTTTTCAGTAACTAATATGTGGTGGGTACATACTGCCTTTAAACACTCTGGGCAGATTATGTGCCCCCATTTCCATTGGACTGATATTGTTTGTTCTTCCATGCCAAAACGTTGAGGAGGTCCTGGTTCAAGTCTCCATCCAGAGAGTGGATAGCCCAACGTAGGTTTCTCATAGTTTTCACAAGTCCTAAATAAATGCCAGGGTGTACATCAGATACTTCCATCGCCACTTTGTCCCATATACTTTACAGTTTGTTATTTGCTGTTGATCCTGTAATGCAGCACTATGTAACCTGAGCTGCTGAAAGCGTTGTTAAATAAACCATAAATAAGTAAAATTCTTCCAAATCTTGACCCTTAATTGAAACTGGTATGCCAAAAATGATGAGAATGACTTTTGAGTAGGAGAGGCAATTGAAGGTGTGGCAGTACATCATGTCCTGTATATTTACAATAAATCAGAAAGAGCTTTTTAAAAAGAATGAATTTTAATAAAACCCTCCACAGAAGCCTTTTAAAGTATTGACCAAGAGGAAAAGAAGGTTTATGAAGATTCACTGTATGATGGAAAGATTCCATTTTGCAGTATTCACAACAGACCAATTGGTCCTATTAATGAGAGGGACTGCATGAATTTTCCTATGATTTTTGCTGGCCTTTGACACTAATTTATTAAGTTTCAGATATTAGTTTCTCAGTTGTCTGTTCTCAGGTATGTGGCTGTCCACTGGTGACCAATGTGTTTGACCTCACTGGGGAATTCTGCCGAGCTCCCAAGAAAAGCTGCTTGAAGCACTACTGCTGGGAAAAGCTGAGAAGGGCTGAGATTGACATGGAGAGAGTAAGGCAGGTAAAGTATGTTGCTGTATTGCTTCTGATGCTACCTTTTTGTATATCCTGAGAAGCAGGAAAGTACTAGATCAGTTAGTATAGCAACTGGGATACAGGCTGGATAACCAAGGAATGTGGGTTCAATTCTGAGCAGGGGCAAAAGATTTTTTCTTCTTCATAACATCCAGACCAGATCTGGGACCCACTGAGCCTTTTATACACTGGGTACTGGCACGTGTGTCCCTGGCGGTAAAGTGACTGGAGCATAATGCCTACCAGTCACCTCCATCTTGTTCCAAAGTCAAGAATGGTGGAGCCATACCTCCACGCTGCTATACATCATCCTGGTATGGTGATTAATTAAGTCCAGGCATAAATTTACCTTTACCTTTAACAGGGAAATACTGGGATAGTGTATGGTTGCAGGAATGGGGTGAAATGGGGTCACATCACTTGGCCTGTGTTTTTCTCCTGTTTGATTGAAACATCAAGACCTTTTTTTGCAATGTTCTAGAAATTGCTGAGCTGATGGTTTTTGTTTGTAGAATATTACTGAGCTGTGTATATTTTTGTGTTTGTATACCTCTGGCTTGATTGAGTTACAGATAATGAGGATACAGTCCTCACATAGTAGAGTAATTGCAGATTTATTGAAAACAGTCATAGGCTCTAACAATACTCACTGAAAACAAAAATGTCACAGGGAAGGTAATAATAAAATAAAGACTAGAATTATTTACATAAGTTTTTTACATTAAGTGTATGAAACTTTTTCTAGTTCCCTGGGCAGTTCTCACCTCTTGTTCAAGGATGCAGCCAAATCTGTAATTAGTGAAAAGGTAGAAACTCCTGTGCCATTAACTTAAAAATATAATAAAAAGGGGAGAGATACACCAAAATATACGGTACTGAAATGAAAAGATGTCCTCTTGATACCACTCTATTCATGTGAAGGCCCCTTGCACGACAGAACCTTCTCAAATCCTGAAGAAATGGTCTGATCACCATGTCCCTGTAGTGTTCTTGGGTGACAGTACGAGCCTTGCCTTCCTCATCCTAAATGAAATAAGGGCCTAATATACTGTGTGCTGAGATGGCACACCATATCGTTATACGTGCACTATGTAGCGGTTTCTGGACGATAACATCTGGCCGCTAAAACCCAAGGAAGCGAGTTGTCTGGTGACCACTTTCGTATGAGCGGAAATAATGCTCAACTATGAATACTTTTTTCTCCATTGAGAGACCCATTTCCAACAACTGCACAACACAACTTCCTTTTCACTACTGGGAACACATGAAGCTGGAGCTATGCCCTGTTGACAAATGCACATTTATGTTCGAGATGCGCAAGTTTCAGTACTGCATTTTTGGCACAGACTGTATCTTAGTAATGGACAAATGGTCCTTGAGCACAATGAAAGATATATGTTTCTGCTCTTATTATAGTGGCTGAAGATAGACGAATTAATTGAGCAAGAGCGACAGATACGTCACTTGATGGCAAGCAGAGCTGGTGTATTAGCTCTTATGCTTCATTCAACATATAATCATGACCTTATGGAACAGATGACTTCAGCACAGGACCAACAGCAGTTAGCAGCAATGGAGGAAGAAATGCAACGTAGGTATGGACAGCAGCAGCAGCAGCAGCAGCAGCAACAGCGACATCTGTGCTTCTAAATTTCTCTACCGTCTGTGAATAACTTGTTCAATAATATTGTACTTGAGCATCGTGTTCCATTAATATATCTTTTTTTACACGTATGTATCCGTCTTAAATGCAACTTGTTATCGAGCCACCCTTCTTCCTCACTACATGCTTCAGCCACATATGGCCATCATCAGGTGTTTGTCTGTCTTGCTAAAACTGATGCACTGTATGTCAAAATGATGTATTGTGTGTGAATGCAATATTGTCTAATTAAAATGAATTAACCTTTAATTAAAATTAATTAACATCTTAATGTTTTTCATTGTGGTTATTGTCCACTTGTTTAAAAACTATTTGAGTATTTCTCATTTTGGATTTAATTGTACTGCATTCTCGTTGTGGTGTCGGTATTTGTGTTATTTGTGCAGTTTGTAAGGATGTCGATGTAGTGTTATCAGTTTTGGTATGTATGCACCATTGGCTATAAGTTTCTCCATGCTGCTAGACTAGTTATGTTGTGAAGTGGTTGTTGTGTGTAGATATTTTGACATACAATGCAACAGTTTTAGCAAGATATACAACACCTGATGATCGTTGTAAGCGGACAAAACATGTAGTTAGGAAGAAGGGTGACTAGATTATAAGTTACATTTAAATGGAAATATATGTGTACAAAAAACGTTGTTTCAGCTTTGTACAGTAACTGAAATAAAGTATGTTTATAGACTCAGAAAATTTATAATTATTGTAGAATTTATACAGGGGATGGACAAAAATATGGAAACACCCAACAAAAAAAAAAACACATTATCATGACTAATATGGTGTAGGACAACCTCTGGCTTGTAGAACTGCATGCAGTCTCCTTGGAATGGATAAATAGAGGTCCTGTATGATTTGCAAGGGAATCTTGTACCATTCTTCCTGCAAAACATTGCCAAGTTCTGCTAACGTTGATGGAGGTGCATGGCGCACACACAGATTGCTCTCCAAAACAGACCACAAAGGCTCAATAATATTGATATCCGGCGATTGTGGGGTCCATGGCAAACGTGACACTTCATCTTCATGCTCAGAAAACCAGTCCTGGATGATGTGAGCTGTGTGAACATGGGCATTGTCTTCTTGGTAAATTGCATCACCTTTGTGAAACAAAGTTTGCACCATGGAATGGACCTGGTCGCCCAAAATGGTCATATAGTCATTGGCAGTTATGTGACTTTGCAGGGTAATGATGGGTCCGACAGAATACCACGATATGGCTGCCCATACCATGATGATTGAACCCCTGCCATGTTTCACTCTTGGCAGCAAACAATCTGGATCGTAAGCTTGGGATGGCGTTCTCCAGACGTAAACTTAGCCAGAAGTCGGAATCAGTGTGAAGGTGGACTCATCCGACCAATTGACCATAGTCCAGGATCTATGACTTTGGCACCACGGTCTCCTCTTAGTGACATTTTGATCACTGATGAGTGTCTTTGGAATTGCAGCTCGTCCAAAAATACCCTGCTTGTGGAGTTCCCTTCTTACTGTTTTAGTGCTGACAGGGTTTAGGAGCGTGACATTCAGTTCAGCAGTCACTTTTGCAGTCTTATTTTTTGTCACAATCCTACACAATGTTCGTGTGTCTCGATCACTCAACACATTTCTTCTGTATTATGTGGTCATAATCTTGGGTACTGTGCCTCGCGACACACCAAAAAGCTCGGCTACCTTGGTTACAGAAGCACCCACCATACAGGCCCCAACAATTTGCCCACGTTCAAATTCTGTTAGCTCTGACATGATGCGCTAACAACTGCACAGAACACTATATTGACAACAAATGAAGAGCTTGCAACATATTGCGGAGGTTGTACAGGTAGTGGTATTGGGCAGATACGACGTCACCTACAGACGTTGCTAAAATAAACACTTCAATTCAGGCATGCATTTCATGGGGTGTTTCCATATTTTTGTCCATCTCCTATGTACTGTAAGATACAGAAAGCAGAATTTGCGTACAGTTTTCAGTGCTAATAAAAATTTTGAAAGTTTGAGTTTAACTATTGTCATAATTTCATGTTGGACAAATTTTGTCCTAAACACAGAATGTTTATAAAATATATGTAGCATTTCAAAGTTACATTTTTGTAACCATGATAAATTTAATGAAACAAAAGCTAAAATGGTGACACACACGTAGAACTTGTGCAATGCTTGATACAACATTGTGTCTTGACCTAAACTACTATCTCTTACCTGAGACTACCATAGAGGGGACCATTTACCTGGGTATGGTTGAAAACATGGTCATTCCACAGGAAGGGATTGTTTATTTTGTAGTGTGTTTAATGCTGCTGTCAGTAACTAGGACCACTGTCAGAGAGAAAGTTGAAGTTTTTCAACAAGATTTACTGCCCTCTTTTAGCAGTTTTGTTCAGCCTAATTTAATTTGTCCTTGGATTTTATGCCCCTTGACTTTCTTATTGGGGGTACATAAAACATGCAGCTCATGGAACAAAGGAACAGGTAAACAATTTTGAAATATTAAAGCACTTGTTTACGGTGGCTTGATATAATCATAACTCCAGAATGATTGAATGTGTTTGTTATCTGAATGTCTGCCACAGCACAAGAGCTGAAAATGTGAAACTGTAATGCAAATCTGAAGAGTCTGTTATCAGTTTCATTTTTGTTCCATTCAGTTATGTACCAACATTATGAAAATATACATCTTTGAAACACTGAACAATTTTGTGCACACTTGTATCAAGTCAAAAACTTTGTACATACATGATAGTAATAACATGTGTACATTTGTACCTTGTGGACCTGCACGTTCATTTTCATCTCAAAAACCCTACCATTGGATCCTGTCGTTAGTCAGTTTATACAAGTTCCTACTTTTTAAACTTCTCTGTAACATCCATCAGTGCTAAGTGCTAGTTCTTTGTATTAGAATGAGGAACTATGCTTCAAATCCATGCTATACAACATGTAAAACTGTACATCTAGGTGCAACAAAGTCAGTTTTGTACTGAAACTTTTTTTCTTCACATTTTGCAGCAATGATTCAGCTGTTTCTGTTTGATTTAAAACACATACAGTGTTGCTGATAGTTGCAGATTCATGTTTTGAATATTTCCTATGTTGGACACTTTGTCCTGAGAGCATGCAGAGAATGAGGGTGTTCTGCGGACTCAGTAGAGGACACCCCTCGCCAAGTTTCGATCGTTTCGATCCCATGTGTTCGGCAATCCGTTGCTTTGGGAATGCTCCTTATACACTGGTAACGAGTTTCGTCTCATCCGTTGTTACTCAACGGCCTTCTGTTGTTCATCTCCGGGGAATGAGATACCAGCACTATGTAAATTTAAAATTACTTTGAAAACATTTCTATTAAAACATTGCTTTTATAGCATAGATGAGTTCCTCTCCTATGTGGACAAGACTTAGTTCACATTAGGATCATATAATAATTTAAAAGTAAGAACAATTGAGCTTAGCTTAACACACNATAGTAACATCATGAAACTTATTATACTATAACTACACAAGAATGACATGTCATATCATGTATAATGATCCATGGACACGAAATGAAATGAAATGAAATGAAACGCGTTCGTTGTTTCGGCACTGTCTACGCAACGGCCCGCTGTTATTGTATTATCGTGGAAGTGCCTATTCCAAACGTGTACAATATAATGTATCAAATGCTAGAAGTAGTCTAGCCTATGTACAATATAGTAAGGTAAATTTAATTATCACTTCGTATTTTTGAGTTATTACTACACGCGTAAAGAGAATTGAATTTAAAGTACCATTCACGTTGTGCAATTTCATTACATTGATTGCGCCTTTACACGGAGAAAAACGGGCAGAAGTAGGAGAAGAGAGACTGTGTTGGTAGCATTGCTAATGGCTATCGAAGCCATCGAAGCGATCGAAGTACTCGTTCGCCCCAAACGCTAATTTCGAGAGGAGAAGTTTGGGTGTGAGTTATGTGCAGTCTGTTACCCAGTGTACAGTTATTTACGTGGTAGTGGGTGTTTCTAGTATCGAATTAACTGGTTTAAACAGTTGTGTATAAAATCGTGGCTTCCATATTATAAAGTAAATTGTGAGAAATGACCTGTTAATGTATGGAAGATCGTAAAGCAGGTAGGTGTACCGCTAATGCCCCTTTGTTGTATGTACGAGGTACATGACTCGAATTTCGGAAGGGCACACTGGTTATCCTCAGGGAAGTTACTCATGATTTTCTTCAGTACCACGAGGAAAGTTCCAAGATAGTTTCTCGATTAAGCAACCACCACTTCCTTTAAAATCCTTTCCAACTCTCCTTAACCAATCAATCATCGGTGCTGTGCTATATAGGGGAGATACTGGTAGCAACGTAAAATTATCCACAAAGGAAATCAAGGTTTTAAATGCTTTGTGAACCTTTTTTTTTTTGTTCCCCGCAGGCTTTGTAACTATTAAGCATTGTTTTCTGAATCTGTTTTTCTTTTCAGGTTTCCATATGGTACAATTGCAGAGGGTGTCTTGGTGTTGAAGCCCTGTTGTCATTAGAGTTGCAGTCACATTGGAGGTAGACTGTGAACAGAGTTGTGTTACAAAATGTCTAGCCAGAGCTTTGCTCTTGCATCTCTTACTGCCACTTACACAGATTCTGAAGGTGAAGAGGATGGTGTTGTGGATGATAACGAGAAATCACCAAATGATGATAGTAGCGCAGATCCCAATATATCTAATATTACAACACCACCAGTTCCTGTAGTGCCTCCACGGTTAGTCTCATACCATGATGATACGGTTATTTCAGATGATGAAGGAACCCCAGGTGAAGGTGCAGAGCAAGAAAGGCAGAAGTCAGTAGGTAGTGAAGGGGATCCTTCAGATGGTGTCCATCTTCCTCCAGAACCAACAGGCCTTTGTTCAAATGTGTGTCAAGACAAGATAAGTCATTTGTATGAAAGGATGCAATCAGATGGGTTGGACATGAATCATGTGATACAGCAGCGCAAAGAGTTCCGTAATCCAAGCATTTATGAGAAATTGATTCAGTTTTGTAGTATAAATGAATTGGGGACAAATTATCCAGCCCACACTTATGATCCTTTACGGTGGGGAAAAGAATCATTTTATGAAGAACTAGCTCGTGTTCAAAAAGCAGAGATGGATCGACGTGAGAAGGAACGGAAAGATAAAACAAAAGTTGAGTTTGTATCAGGTACAGCTAAGCGACCAGGTAGTGGCTCAGGAGCAGAAGATGATGCTAAACGACGGAAGTCAAAGTGGGATCAGGTTGGAACAATGGTGGCAGCTAACATGGCAGGAGGTACACAGGCTGGTCATATACTGAAACCAGCCGGACTGTTACAGCAACCATCATTGACAACAAGTGTTACAGGTACAAAGGGAACAGTTATATCAGCATTTGGCTCACTTCCCAAGAAACCACGAATCTGATATGGGTTTCGAAATTATGTATAATAAGTGTATAGTGAGGTGTGGTATTCTGACGTGTTAGTTTTCTTGCTGCATGAAGTATGGACATGTTTGGTATAGAAGCATTGTAAGGTAAAGTTGCCCCAGTGTTTAACTAATTAAGCATTACACCATGAAGGTGTATGGGGGAGTGGATGTATAGATCCACATTTTCTTGACCTCGGCATTAGCTGGAGGTGAGTGGTTAGCTTCATGCTCTGGCCATTTTACCCTCCCCCCATGTAGAGAGCCCTCAGCACCCATTGGATAGGAGATTGGGTGGACCCCAGAGCCGATCTGGACAACGTGGAGAAGAGAAAATTCTTGACCCTACCAGGACTCGAACTCTGACTCCTTGGTCGTTCAGTCTGTAGCCAGCTGTCCCAACTACACTATCCCGACTCCTATAGAAGCATTGTTAAACTATATAATACAGGTAAATCCCAATTTACACCATACTTTCAGTGCTAGAAGATGGAGTATAATGCCAAAGCATGTATATGAACATGTTTTTTTTTATATATTCAAAATGTCTGTTCGATGTTTGTTTTGTCTTTGTTATATATTATAAGTATGTTCCATAGTCTGTATAAATATTTTTGCTATTATTGCTGATATTTGGGCACCCATGGCAAGTGTTTTTGTCAAATTGGAAGCAGTTCTGTTTTCAGTATATGTATTATTTCATTCTGAATATTGTTGATATTCACAACTTGCTTTAAGTGTTCAGTCTTAATCTCTGTAACTATTAAAAGTCCTTCATTGATACTGTAATAACAGGCTGTTTATGCAGCAGCAGATATAAAGTAGTTGCTAAGTGTTGGCTATACGTTGTGTGATAGCCAACAGTGCCTGAAACATGTAAAGACAACTCTTTCACTTACTGCCATGAAATTAGTTATTGGACTGCTTGATGTGTTTCTACTACTTATTTATGTGTCCAGTGACTTGTAATTGGTATGAAATTGAGACTTCTGTTCTCAGTTGTCAACACATTGAGAGTAGATGTATACTCCAATTATTTTAGTGGGATACCTTTTTAAGTGTCATTCATGAAGCCGATTCTCACTTCCTTGGGGGAAGAATGAATTTCGCCATTTCCTGTTTGTAATCTATCATGAATTAAGGTTTCAAATATTACAGTTTCACAGTATCCTCATTACAAACCTGGAAAGAGAAACTGAAGAATTTGGCTTGGGTCCTTTTATTTGTGACTGAACTATGCTGTGAATTCAGATATTAAATTGGGTAATGAAAACGAAACAAAATGTCTTAATTTATTGACATGAAATATTCTAACATAGAACCTATGAAGAGTTATATCGTGTGGAGTATAACACTATGTAGGTCACTGAAAATCAACTGATGTTTTGGAGTAACATGTCACCTCCATCTTGGTTATTCTTCAACCCTGAAGATGGAGTTGACATGTTCATCTGAAATGTCAGTTGATTTTCATCTGGTTAAATGGCATTATATCCTAGGGGACAGAGCTCTTCATAATCACCACTGTGAAGACCTCAGATCCAACATAACTAAACCTGAACTAAAACTGTATATTGCCATGTGTATTAGTGACTGGTAATTGCATTTGTTGAACTCTTAGTGATCGTAACTACACGCAACTATAGTGGTATCACTAATTCACACACACTGTAGTTTACTACACATATAGTAAAAAAAGTAAAGTTATTCCTGTAACAGATGTTGAGGTTCCCACATCATCTAGACAATCGGCTCAAAGATGGCGGTAAGGCTGTCAGCCTTACATGCTGGCTGCGCTTTAGTCCCCAGGAAAATTATTTAATTAATTCCTTGTACTCATTTTTGTTAGAGGCTGAGTCGATATCCTCTGCTTCCTTGCAGAGCAGGGGGGTGCAACTGAGATAGGAGAAAGGGAAACACAGTAACTACTGCCTCTGTGTGGATGTAGATTCTACACACAGATCTCGACCAATCAGAGAGCTTACACAAACCAATTTGAATTCCTGCAATTATATGTGGTTGTGGTGGTTCATTATATACAAATTGGTAAGCATGAATTTTGATTTGATGTGGTTGCGGAACGGAAGTAGACATTTGCGAACGAAGTTACATCTCCATAGTAAACATATTATTTGTGTATATGAATGTTATGCTTACAACCACAAATTAAATTAGAAACACATAGAATTCTTTCAAGCCTAAAATTTTTGAGGTTATCATGAACTGTCATCTGAACGATATTTGTTTTATGACATGATCTTCAACTTTTGGTTTATCCCAAAGATTGTCTGTAGAATGTGAAGGAGTTCTAAGAGTGCCGGATGGTGTTATAATTTTTGTATTGCTTCTTGCAGTATAAACATGAAAACAAAAACTTTTGCAGCTGTTGGGGTATTTCTTCCAGCAAGCAAGGCATCAGATTCTTTAGCTTTCCAAGGGATGCAGCACGGTATGTCTGTTTTAATTCATGGTGTAATTACTTTCTTATGTGTTGCATAATCCAATGAGTAAATTAAGTTTAGTGTATGTCTGTGTTCAATTTATTCAACATAACCCCAAAATTTAGAATGTGTACCTCCTGAATCAGGTTTTGATTTGTTATCATCATTCCTCTAGTTTTCAAAATTATTATCCCCAGAACCCAGTTCTCAAACAAACATCATTTTCATCATTTATTACAAAACTGTATATCAATATACAGGTTACATGGAATATGTCATAATATTGATGTTTTTAGGGTAATTAAAATTATCTGAAAAGCAGAACACACTATCAGTGATATTGATTTATGAGAGAAAGAGATGGCAAAGTCTTCCCTATGAGGGAAAAAGTAATCAAATTCACAAATTTTTATGGCAGTCCTTAGCAAAGTATGTTATTTTCCAGTCTGAAGAAGTATGACAGTCCATTATGTGAGGTAGCTCATTACCTTCCTTTTTAATGTTCTTTCAGGTGGGTGCTGCAGTGAATACTTGGTGACAGCTGTGTTTGTTGAGGAGTTTGGCAACCTCTTTGATAGTTTCAATGGTGGAACGTGTGTTGACCCTTGGAAAACGCTGCATTGTCCGCTCAACGATAACAGTCCCAAAATAGAGCACTGGAAAAGGGCAATTATGGGGTAAATAGTTCAGTCTTCCTCAAGGATGGTAAACCCGCCTTTCTTCAATCTCCTCCTTCACAGAATGGGGTTTTGTGAGATGTCTCACAAGAATTTACATTCCTTGGTGGTGTAAGTGAACAAACAGGTTGATGACTGAAGCAGCCAGGCAGAGGGCCACAAAGAGGAAGATTAAGCTACTGACACATCAGTAAGTAGGGTTGCCAGATTTTGTAAAATAAAAAAAGGAGTGATGTCTTGTTGCTTGTTTATAACGACATTTTTCACAACTAATAGGCTATAAAATATACATAATCAACATACTACATAACTTAGAAAATGCTACTACACATCTGTATTACACATTTATAGAACAAAACAAATATTACGTAGCCCTATTACATATTTATAGAGTGCACAAAATATTACCTTGTATTACTTTGTAGAACACACAAATATTAAATACTACATATTTATAACTTTCAAGGGCTGGTCGATCAGATTCTGTTAATTGTATTTCACTGAACTCTTAGCACTTTTTAATAATTGAACATCACCCTTTGAAACTTTATAAAATTCTGAACAGGACTTGCTTTCATAGTTCACTGTCACCTGGAATTCTGCCTTGATTAAATCTGTTGAGCATCTGTTTCTTGTATCACTCCACTTACTTTTCATGAATGAAAAGATTGACTCCGCAAAAGCATTTGAGCCAGGGATGCTAAACAAAAATCCTACCAAGAAAGTCGTCTTCTGGGTTTTGGTGCCTTGTATTCTTCGTTTTGGCTGATGTTTCGGAGGAATGTATCGCCTCCATCTTCAGAGCAGATGAATGGCTTGTGAATGCAGAGAGCAATAGCTGTAATGATTCGGAAGTGAAAGGCGAAGTAGGCGGGGGGGGGTTGGGATAGCGGACCAATAGGAGCAGTGGAGAGCGATTAAGGCCATATGGTGTTGTGTGCTAAGGGAGGTGGGGGGAAGGCCAGTGAATCCAGGAAACTTGAGGTCAATAGCACTTGGAGGTTGCGGTTAGACAAGAAGAACCGGTTGGCTGGGGACAGGCTACTGACGTCAGTGACATGATTACAGGGGACAGGCTACTGACGTCAATGACATGACGAAGGACTGGTGTTGCTTGTTGGATTTCTCTTGAGGGAAGAGATGAGAGGCTTCCATGACTTGTTGAGACTGAACCCTGTTTCCTTGTTCATGTTGTTTGGCTGGAGCCCGATCTCAACCCCCCCCCCCCCCCGCGTCCC